CCGAGCTTCAGGTCCCCTGCACTTAAACACACTTTACAGCGGACTGTCTGTCGGCTTGGTCCGCTCATGTCTCAATGTCAGAATGTGTGGGAGCGAGTGTAAGCAGGAGTTTTCCATATTATTATTTATGAATACGACTTTGGCTGACATTTATATTTTGCGGCAGATGCCTGGGTTGTACGACTCCAAAGAGTAAGGGTTCTGGCTCCTTGGGAGAGTGCTCTTCTAGTTTTACAACTGATTCACTCAGGGCCAAAGACAAGGAAAGTGCAGTAAAAGTGGAAAAATTATGGTCAGGTAGTAAACAGGAAATTTCCTATTTCGCGAAAGCTAATAGAACAACGGGCCGGGAAGTCCCTTCATTGCAGGACGACATTTACGTAAGTGCATTTTTAGGTGCATTAGAACATTGATATGATTCTATTAGCTCACACAAGCGGGTTTTATCACCTCCAAGGGGGATCATCAAGGAAAGGCATTAAGGGAAACGGTAATTGATGGTGGAAATGATGGATGCCGAAGGATGCCAATGATCCATTAAGAGGTCCTTGGGTGCACGGAACCATAATAAGTCCCTTTTAAAATTGATGGTCTCATTAATTTTAAGAACACCTTTACTTTATTAGTTTGTAGTCCAAAAAAGATGTAAAAGAACTAAACAAATGTTTCTTAAAGAAAAGTGAAGATTAAAAGGGATTAAAGATATTTCAAATTGAACAAATTTTAATTTTTTTGTTCTTACTAAAAAAAAAGCACATAAGGATAAGGATATTTGTACAACAAACTTGTTAAGTATAATTTTTACATCCTTAAATCAAAACATCAATTCGAAAAAGAGAGAGAAAAGAGGGAATTGAGCAAATTAGCTAAAAATTACTCTGAGTAAGAGCGAGACAGCAATGTTCGTAACCCTCCGAAATGGAAAAAAGGAGAAAAAAGCAAGATGGCCAACGTATCTGGATCAAATTTATACTCCATTTCGTAAAATAATCATCTAATCTTATTAATTTTTTCTCTGTGAATTGCTAGTGATAAAAAACTTTTCGCGTGCGGTAATTAAAGCTAAATATAGCCGCACTGCAGGTCTCAGACCAAATCAAGGGAAAACACTAATCCATAATTCAGACTTGGCAGAAAGCCGCAGTCGGGCCAAAAGGGCTTAAAATAGAAATAATAACAGACACGCCAGCAACAAGCGCAAGGAAAACCGGAAAAGCGAAAGGAAAAAGGGGAAAATGCGAGGGAAGTGACAGCCCGCCGGGCGGGGAAAATAAACAGAGAAACACTTAAATTAAATTGCGAACTGAGCTTAATGCACTTAAAGACGGGACATGGCCAGGAAAACCTGGGAAAGCTGGGAAAGCGGGTGGCCTTTGTGAGCCACTGTCAATGTCAGACAGACGGAGGGATTCCATTGACAGGTGAGCAGTGCGTTCAGATTCGCTTTCCCCGCTTTTCCGCCCACTTTTCCCGGGGCACTTGAGCACGCGCCCAGGAAAAGCCAAGAACTGAGCACCGAGAATCGCGGCTTATGCAATGCGGCCAACGAGGCTTGACAGTTTGGTTTGCTTATCTTCGTTTTTGGCCCAGGGGCCTACATTGCTGCCTCTTCTGCCTCTTTTTGCCATGCAAGACGGCCATTAGTGACGTTGACTCACCCGAAAATAATTCCCATTCAATAGGTCGCCTCCGACTCCCCATTGATTCATTGCTCCAAAAGAATATTTAAATATGAGGTTGGCAAGAAAGTTTATTTCCTTGGGGACTCTTTGCTTCCGTTTTCGTGGATCGAACTTTTTATCTGCAGTATTTCATTGCTTGTTTTTGCCTTATCGTTGTTTTATTGATTTAATTTGTTTGGCCCCCGGCCGAAAAGTATTGCATATTCGAACAGCAGTTTGGAAACGCCAGTTAAAAAGTTTTCTTGTTTATTCAAACCGACATTTGGTATGCATTTTTGAACATGGAAACTGAAAGTTGAATTTATTTCCTAAAATAAATGTGGTTATTAAAGCACTGAAAGGTTATTTCCTTTGGTGAAACGTACTCCTAATCTATGGGAATGATATTGCAATCTAAGATTGGGCCATAATGGTTTATTTTTTTGGCTCTAAGCTGGAAAGGATTGAATATTCAAGAAGCAATTGAAAATTCCAGTTGAAAAGGTTTCCCATTTATTTAAACTGTTCAATCTGAGATTTAAATATTTCGTTTGCAAGCCGGATTTCTTAGCAATCTATTGCTGTGGGCGTTTCTTTTATCCAAGCCATTTTGAAGTCAAGACAATTTATGGCTGAAAGAGACAGCTGCAAATGGAATTTGGCTTCCCAGGAATTCTTTTCCCCAGTCTCTTATCTTCTTGGCAATTAAACGGTTGTTAAATTTCTTGGAAATTTTGCGAGCGTTTCAAATTATTAAATTAAAACCCTCTATATTTAATAAATAAATAAGGAAGATTTTCTTTTTTATTCCACATTAAATAAACATATTATAAAATGTGGCATTCCTGCCGTACTTTTTCCATGCAAATCCCATTATTTTAGCAAAGTACCTACCCAGCTTAACCCACAGCTCATTACACAATTTATATTAAAGCCGTAACTTAACCCTCGGCACCCAGGGCAACATTAGCTGGCAGTTGGAGCGGGGCCAAAAGTATTTGCCATATTGCACCCGGATTGCAAAAGTTCTTGGCCAGCATTCCGCTATAATCGTATAACTACGTATACAGTTCTAGCACTTCCTTTTCCAACATATATATGCGAAAACAAGGACAACAAAGGATGTTTGTGGGGGGTGTGGGTGGTGGAAAAGCGGAAGAGGCTCGAAGCCATTGCAGTGGGTGAAATGCAATTTCCAGGCCATAAAATGGCTGGCCGGGGAAAGGCAGAAATGTCCTTTCAGGCGGCCTTAGCGAAAGCGTTTGCAGGTAATGGCCATCATCGCAGCCGGTTAATGCGGGCAACTTGTTCCTTTGGCAGATAACACGAGTTCCCAAAGTCCTCGCGAACAAAGCGGAAAGTTTCGCTGCAAATTAAATGAAAAGTTAATATTGGCAGCGTGTTCGATAAACAATGGGGACACAGTCAACAAGTTGCTCCTCCTAATGCGATTATTGCACGGTGCCTGATGTCTTTGATAAATGAGGTTTGCTGTAAGACTGTCCAGCAATATTTAAGCTAAACATGGTTCTGAAAAAGTGTCTTAAAGTATGCAACAATATGTTCTCATTCGTTCTACAGAATGTTATTTATTATAGCACACTTTTGCGCACCTAATACGATTATTGCACAGTGCCTGATGTCTTTGATAAATGAGGTTTACTTTCTCTGTCCAGCAATATTTAAGCTAAACATGGTTCTGAAAAGGTGTCTTAAAGTATGCTATTTTAATTTTACTGCATACTTTTAGGCACCTAATACGATTATTGCAGAGTGCCTGATGTATTTAATATTTATTTATGTATATCAATATTTTTAAGCTATTCAATTGCATACTTTCAGGCACTTTTATAAGTAATTTCAAATCTCTTTGGTTTTCTGTGGCACCTCATAAATGTTTATTTATATTTGCCAACTTGTAAGCTTTCTAAAAGTGTTTTTAAATCCCTGTATGAAAACCCTTGCTAAGAACTCTTACCACTTTTCGCTCTTCAAATTCAAATTAGTCACGGTTTTCTTGAGTGCCAAGAACAGTGTGCATTGCGAAACTCATTTAATGGCAACAGCTGGTGCAAATTTATGGTCACGGCTCTTCTATTCTAAGCATTGTTTTAGCCACAGAAGAGCGACCACAGCAAACTGTCAACGATTCCCACCGCATATATATCCGGATGCCCATAAAGCGAGCAACCGAGCTGGCTAAATCCTAGCCAAACACTCGCTGTTCAAAGTCCACTTGAGCTCAGCTTAGCTTCTGATAAATACCACATGGAATCGTTGTTCAAAATTAAATTGTTTGCTCTAACATTAATTTGCAGGCTATATTTCGGCTTAAAGTCTTATGTGTGCACATAATTAAAACGCCCGAAAGGCAAATCGTTACGGTTACCTAGAAAGCTTAATTTAATGTGGGCATTAGGTATATTGATTTTATATTTAAATTAATTTTAGCTTAACTTAATCCCTGGGAGATTTAATAATACAAATGTTAGTACCGAAAAGTATGTAATGGATTTTTGTTTAGATTATTATAAAAGAGCTGGTTGTCTCTCTAACCAAATTGCTTTAAATTTTATTTGAGCAGTATATATACAATTTAAAAACTTTATAGAAAATTCTAAGGCCCCTTTGAGCGCAAGGTCAATGTTATTTTTATAATTTCTGTAGGTTTTGGACCAATCAAACATTCATTGCCTTACAATAACATTCTGTGCGTCGCAGAAAAATACATGATTTAAGTGGTTTTCCACACAAGGTTTATTTAAATAGTGGCCCCTTTGGTAATTATTTTTTTAAGTGCTCTCTTTTCAGTCGCAGCTTCTTTCCTTTTTCCCCGTCCAACATCATCTGCAGCACCGCCTTGAGCCCAGGGCTTTCCTTTCTTATTTTTAGTGCCACCCAGCCGCGAGGCAACTGCAGACGTGGGTTGTTCAGCAATTTTGTTTACATTTCTTGTTTTTCTTCTTTCCGCTGGTGTGTTTAACTCACAATGACTTGTGACAGGGGCGGTGTCAAGCGAGGAGGGGTGCTGGAAGGGGGTCACTTGGGGGTCGCGTGGAGGTGACGTCCTGTCTCATTTCAGCCGCGGGGAATCCCCGCACACACGAATGCAATGTCGACGCTTCCTGCGCTGCAGTGGGACTCCCACTGCGACCATTTCTCACCCGAAACCCACTATCCACTACCCACGTACTACCCGTGTGCCTTTCTGGGGGCGTTTCTGTTTTATGCTATTAATTTGACAGTTTCAGCTGCACTGACAACTGGCTTTTCCCCAGACACCGAGCATAGCGTTTAATGGCCGCAAATTAATTGTTGTATTCCCTGGCTCTTCCCCAGATAATTGCTCAGCATCCAGCTTTTTCTGCGAGGACAAGTAACTAAAAAAAAAGGAAACTTAGAAATGGATTCTGCCGCAGCCGCCGCCGCCAAGCGCGTTCAAATCGAAAAGGCCCACAACTTTATGCGCCAATATCGCGATCCCGAGTCCAGGGAACTCAAGAAGCTGTCGGCCAACCAGTTCATGGATGTCTGGGCGCACTACGATAAGGATGGTGAGTTCAGATAAAGCATTTCATAAGCCAAAACCACTAGAATGTGTAAGAGGGGGTGGGCCTTATGACACAAACAAAAGTGTTATAACGCCCAAAGACGTTCTAGCTTTATACATACTATGTTTATGCTATGAATTTCATGCATTCTCCAATACATGAAATTATAATAGCCCCTGTTTATACAGCACAGACAAATTCATGAAATGGTATTAGTGAAGCTGTCAATTTGATATAGAGCTCTATAGAGTAGTAGGCTGTGAAGTAGGCTGTGCCTCAACATTTCGTGAATTGGGGCTGAATTCATAGTCAACTTTCGTGTGTTATCGAATTCATGAAAAGGTGTTTATGCACACACGAATTTGCCCATTTCATGAATTGATTTCATGATATAGGCATAGCATAAACACAGTAACAGTTAGATCTGTACGAAAACAATTATATATACTTAAGTTGTCCTGCAATATAATCATCAGCTCAAATGGTAAAGTTATAGCTTGATCAATTGAAGAAAGATTTTAAAATTAGAAAATTGTTATCATATGCATTTATACAATTGTTTTTAATGTTAGGTCCATATTTTGACCATTTTTTATTTCAAGATGCAGTAATATCTATGCCACATAAATTAAATATTTTTAGGTATTTTAGAAAGAAAATCATTGTTTTAAATGTAATATTTTTATATTTCGTATTAATGCACTAATATATTTGTGTTTAATGCTCCATAATTTTTTGGTTTTTATGTCAATGGACAGATGGTTACTATGTCAAATCTTAATTAGCTATCCAGTGACCTGAACTCCTGGGCAAATTAACTTATGGAAACCATTTCAATATTTACCATTTCTATAACCTTATTTGGATAGCAATATCATAATAGAAATGAGCCTTCTATTGTTACATTCTCCCTTTGTTCGCCCCAGGAAATGGCTACATTGAGGGCACCGAGCTGGACGGATTTCTGAGGGAGTTCGTGTCGAGTGCCAATGCCACAGACATCAGTCCGGAGGTGAGCTTTAAGTGGATCTTGAAGTTGGTCAACTGCATCTTAATCTTTCTGCCCCAACCCGCAGGCTGTCACGGACACCATGCTCGAGGAGCTGAAGTCCTGCTTCATGGAGGCCTACGATGACAATCAGGATGGCAAAATCGATATCAGAGAGGTGGGTACTACCTACCAAAACTGACCGACCGCACATTCGGGCACAAATAGCAATGTTGTCTGTATAACTTTTTGTATTCGAAATGACATTTCCTACAGTCGTGATGGCGCCTCTTTTTCCTTTTCCAAATTGGTTTTTAAATGTCTCGGCCCAACCGAGAGACCCATAAATTATTGGCGTTTTCCCTTGTTGAAAAATAAGAAACTTTCTGGCAAGGTCTTCCCCCAAAAAAAGTATTTTGTGGGGGCCACATTAAATGAGTTTTTAATTGAAGTTGGACCAACAGCAGCAGCCTGGACTATTGAAAGGAGATTTTTCTGTATGGTTTGCATTTTTTTTTCTACCAAATAATAAGGCACTCTGGGGAGCCGGCTTACACAATGGACTTTTGATAAATGAGCCACCGAAAAAGAAAGTTTCTGGGTAAGAAAAGTGAAAAGTTGAAGTAGCCGGGCCCCCCTGGATTGCTGATTAAGGTTGGCTGGCAGTACAAAAGGATCCAGGCATTCATAATTCATGTTGTACACCGTATTCATACGCCACGTCGAACATCGATTGCAATGGCTTTGGGTTATATTCGCTGTCAACATGGGTTTGGCCCGGGGATAAACTTTAATTGCGATAGTGCGGTAATTACCAGCAGCAAATAAAAATGTAAATTCAACAGCCACAGCGAATTATAAACTTTTCCCGACCACTGCTGATTACTAGTGAAGGGTGACGGCTTCAATTCGACACTTAAATTATGCCAGAAAGTTTTAACGAATGCCTGGGGCGAAACTTTTCCTGCTGTTCGCTAATTAAAGTGCAGCAGGATTTTCTTGGTTTCCCACCCATTGCACCGTAAAACTAGAATACCCATTTAGTCTCCTCTTAACAAAACCTATTTCATTGTCAAGTCACGCATTGAAACAAGAGGCATTCCTTTTGCAGCTCGCTCAACTTTTGCCCATGGAGGAGAATTTCCTTTTGCTCTTCCGCTTCGATAATCCCCTGGAATCTAGCGTGGAATTCATGAAGGTGAGTGATACTTGGGAATTTCAAACCCTGAAATTTCCCAATTAATTTTGAATTCCCTCTTGTTTCAAATTAAATTAGATCTGGCGTGAATACGACACCGACAACTCGGGTTACATCGAGGCGGATGAGCTGAAGAACTTCTTGCGCGACTTGCTCAAAGAGGCCAAAAAGATCAATGATGTGTCCGAGGACAAGCTCATTGAGTACACCGATACCATGGTGAGTAATCAGAGATCGAAATATACTAGTATCCCAATTTTTAAGCAAGAACTAGCTCTTCTGCGAATTTAATATATATATAATAATAAATATTCCAATAAAAAATGAGTATGTACAATATTTGAGTAAAGATTTTTTAATGATCTAACAGTTCTTGGAATACAAAAAAGTATTGTGTGAAATTCTCAAAGTAACGATTTCATATTAACCTTGACAGTTCCTGGAATAAACAAATATTTTATAGGCCGCAGCATACTGAATATTTCATTAATTTGCAATAGAAAACACAATATACGAATTCTTAGAAAATTAAAATTGCTTATGATGAGTAAATTACTTCTTCAAATAAACTGTATAATGATAGCAACGCATAATTGGAATGCCTAGACAAAAACAATTCCTTTCAAACATGCATTAGCACAATACTGTTCTGATCACACCAGTTTACAAAAAAAAATTGATGAAATACGCCTTTCAGGAAACCTTTGTTTTCCGGTAAGATACATCTCCCTGATTAAGAAAAGGGCACTTAAAATTTTTTCTATGGTACCAATTTTTTTTAAAGTGTAAAAAACGTTTTTTGCACTTTTTTATTTTATAACTTGAGTTGTGATAAACCGAATTCGGTCATTAAGGACTCATTTTACAGGTAATAGAATGCCCTTTAACTTTCTTATACACATCATTAAGTTCCATTCATTAGTTCAAAAGCTACACTTCGTCAAAGTTGAAAAATTTGGAAAAAAATCAAAAACGCTGGCATAAATGGCTTCTTTAAAAATACACGCGTAAAAACCGAAATTAGTTTTATGTTTTTTTCTTGATGGCTGAACCATAACGGAGAATATGCGCCATAGATCACGACAATCCGTTGGTAAATCGATTTTTAACAGATTTTTAAACGTATATACCCAAGTTCATTATTCGGGAGCAGCGGCCGTTAAACGTTATTTTAAATTTTCAGTGTTGGGGAACGTAAGAATTTGGTGCAAGTTGTTATGCATAACGTCAGTTTCCTTGCTAAAAATATATGAAAATGATTTCCTCGTAACTGCAATCGCATACTCTTTAGCTTGCCCAGCGCTATAGCAAAGAAACTGACGTTATGCATAACAACTTGCACCAAATTCTTACGTTCCCCAACACTGAAAATTTAAAATAACGTTTAACGGCCGCTGCTCCCGAATAATGAACTTGGGTATATACGTTTAAAAATCTGTTAAAAATCGATTTACCAACGGATTGTCGTGATCTATGGCGCATATTCTCCGTTATGGTTCAGCCATCAAGAAAAAAACATAAAACTAATTTCGGTTTTTACGCGTGTATTTTTAAAGAAGCCATTTATGCCAGCGTTTTTGATTTTTTTCCAAATTTTTCAACTTTGACGAAGTGTAGCTTTTGAACTAATGAATGGAACTTAATGATGTGTATAAGAAAGTTAAAGGGCATTCTATTACCTGTAAAATGAGTCCTTAATGACCGAATTCGGTTTATCACAACTCAAGTTATAAAATAAAAAAGTGCAAAAAACGTTTTTTACACTTTAAAAAAAATTGGTACCATAGAAAAAATTTTAAGTGCCCTTTTCTTAATCAGGGAGATGTATCTTACCGGAAAACAAAGGTTTCCTGAAAGGCGTATTTCATCAATTTTCTTTTGTAAACTGGTGTCATTGACAGATGCACTAATGTATGCAATTCACACACAATGGTGTAAATAATTCAGTTTCCCAATTAGCAGACAATAATGTATGCCCAACCATTATCCTTTCAGCTCCAAGTATTCGATGCCAACAAGGACGGACGTTTGCAGCTGTCGGAAATGGCCAAGTAAGTGTCCTTGAAGCGGCATTCTCAAATTCCAGGCAGCAGCCAGCAAACCAACTTATTTATTGCAGATTGCTTCCGGTTAAAGAGAACTTCCTTTGCCGCCAGGTGTTTAAGGTAAGTGACAAGCATTTGATATGCCCCCAAGCCAGAAAACATCCTTCAATCGAGGAAATTGCTATCAGGATAGAGCGGTTTTCATAAAATATAATACCAAGAACTTGCATAAGTGAAACAGACTCGGCTTGCCTTGAAAACAAAACACGTTTAGCACCTAGGTTAGCCTGGTTTTTTGGTTTCTCACTAGCTGCAGCCTTTGCTAAATAATTATTAAATAGCTTTGCAACTAACTCAATCAGCAATGCATTTTAGTTAAGTTTTTTATTTAATTTACCTATTATTTTGAGCATTGTCTGTGCCGACTTGGGGGAATTAATCTCTCAGAACAAATAACAATGACAAAAATTTATGAGAGACTTTCATAAATATAGATTCAATTTGTATGCTTAAATAAATAAATCCAGAACCAGACAGGAAATAAAGGTGGGAAAATGCAATAATGTGAATGAAAACAAAATAAAATCTGGTTAATAAATATTAGTATAAAAGCTTTCACTCATGAGCAAGCAATTACTCGGATAAATGCAATGCCATATTTCTGTGCATTCCATTGCATTTTCGTTTGTTAAAAATAAATAAAAACCAAGTGTCCATTCAATAAAGACTTTAAAAATAAATGGTTCGAAGGGGAAAGTACCTACTGAAAGCAAATAGGATTTTAAATGTTTTTTTCCTATTCTATAGATTCCTCGAAGTTCTAAATCCTTTTAGGGACTTTTCTACCCGCTCGACAGATCAGAGAACAAAGTCACTATTTATTTTTTCTTTCCTTTCCAAACAAATTCGACACTGAATGCAACATTGAAAAGTTGTGGCCATAATAAAAAATATTCGTGAACCCCATTTTGGCTCCGTCGCAACAAATAAAGCCATGGCCAAGGCAGAAATAGCTGTTTCGCCGTATAAAAAAAGGCAAGAAATATTGTCTGCAATCGTAAAAATAAACGAAGCAAAATAGCGAAGCTCAGCTGAAACTGGCAGGTGCTTTCACCCACTCTCTCCGCTTTCTTTTTTTCGGCGAAATGAAATGCGTGGGAGCTGGCGGAATGAATTTCCGAAAGCAGAGGCTTCCCCATTCCCCAGTTTCTGCCGAAGCGTCAACAGATTTGATGTGATTTGAATTGGCTTGTAAAAAGGCAGAGGAGAGCCTAAACAGCAACCACTGCATAAACAGAAGGTGGAAAGTCCCCAAATGGCTGGCCATTAAATACTTTAATATTAGTTTGCCCAGACTCAGATAGCAGAGCAATTAGCAGAAGAAAAGCCATGTGGTGTTTGGGAAAACAAACTTTCTGGCCACTGTTGCCAGATGTTGGGGCTTAAAATTCCCCTGGGAGATTCTACGAACCCATTTGGACTCGGTCCCGAAATGCTGATGATGCCAAATGCGGTTAAATGAAGCACTGTCATTGCATTCGAGGCTGCCTCCGAATGTCACGTAACTTCCCGCAGGCCAAAACTTGGCCAGAAGTGTATGTATTTCGGGCATGTTTTCCGTTCTCGCATTTTAAGCATTTTGGCCAGGAATGGGGACATCCTCAAGAACACCAAGAATCCTTTTTATTTGCTGCCAGCAGCAGCTGCTTGAGAAAGCCTTCAAGAGGAAAACGCCCCAAATTTATGCAGGCCTAAGATTGATATTTTTCTCAAGACTTTTGTTTAAGAAGGGTTATATGGGATTAAATACAATATTTATTAGAATAGGTTAAAATACTTTTATAGGCCCAAGTCCCAAGGTGTAAACCTTTATAAAGTTAAAACTATTATATCTTAATAATAATAACTTTGGAGTTATACAATATTTTGTATTATATTATAAGGAATTCAGGGCAACTGATGGAGATTTAGGCTTACTATTATAAGACAGAATTAGGTTCACTAGCTCCACTGTCCACAGAATACATACTACTTATAATGGGCAGGCGGAAATAAATGTGGAACCCTCCTCAGCCTTGATAACTCCCAATTTGCTGAGCCAGCCCCTTCGAAATTTTCCGATTCGCGTTTCCCATGCCTTGGGCATACGTAAACTCTTTTTTTTCCGTGTTCGACCTCATGTTTGGTTTTCCTTTTTGCTGTTTGCCACATGAACCACATCGCCACATATGTACAATCCATGGAACAGCAAAGAAAAACCACCTCCATTCGGTTGTCGGCGTTGTTCTTGGCAATCAAGTGGGCTAGATCCACAGAAAAAATGGTCTGAAATCGGGGAAATCGGGGGGCATTGAGGGCCCTTATTGTTATTTGCTGCAAATGTACGTGCTTCAGTCGCATTGACGCTTATTCTCATTGCTCATTGGCAGCAGTGGCCGAAAACTTGGATGGGTGGTATATCGAAAGGATTTTGCCACCTCCAACAGTGGCACCAAAGTCCAAAGTGTTGCATTCAGCCTGTACTCACTTTGTATTGGTTTGGATTGCAATTGGATTCCCATTGCACTAAATCACTTTGCTGGCACACCCACGCTCTGTTCCCAAAACTAAGCGAAATTGGCATTTTCCATGTGGCAAGCCACTCCAGTATTTCAAAGCTAATTATTTGGGGGTTTGCAAAGTTAAGAGAGAACTTATTGCGGTGGAAATGCATACTTTGAAATTGAAACCCAAAAATAGTTGGAAAAGCTGGTTGGCTTATTCCTTGAAAGACTGAAGTTTGGTTTTTCGGGTTTCAATACCAAAATCAAAGAATTATGAGTTAAAATAATAAATATAACAGTGATGAATTTATTATTTCTCTTTAATTTACATGTTTTCCATTCTATAAATCTGATTGAGATGTTTTTTACATTTAAATAATAAACAAGCCCAAAAGTTATATTATTTTCATAAATTAACAAGTTGAATTTAAAGGTAGTTTGGCATTGAATATTGTCAATCAATAGTGCATATTTTGGAATTATCTCCAAATTTCGGTTTTTGTTTCTAGATTTCTAAGTCATCTGGTTTTCGCTGTCGATTGATCCTCTCGTTTTTCAGAGGTTTAATTTTATATAGCAGTAATAGATGGTTATTTAAAGTTATTTCCCCTTTCAAAGTAAATATATAAAAGTCAGCTTACTGTGAGCTTACATCCTTCACGCTTTCCAATTCGAAATGGGAAGCTGGTGTAAATTCAAATGCAGCTCGCATGTCCTCGCAACGAGATATTTCTGTTCCGGGTGGAGTGGAAAAGGGGAGGTCCTTCTCGGGATCTGGAGGGGGGAACCTGGGCAATGTAGCGATGTGCACTCAGTGGAGCGGCAGTCCGAGCGAAAGGCAGCAGAAGCCGCAGGATTGCACAACGAACAATGCTCATGGGTTGCATGCCGCATATTTGCTCATTGTTACAGCTCGCAGCACAAACGACATTTTATTTGGGTTTTATTGATGGCGGTGGAGTGGGGCATCTAGCGGATGAGTAATGCATAACAATGTAGCGGGACAAGTTGGATTTTAATCGAAAAGTGCCGGCGCGGACATGGTTGCTGTCTCCTGTCTCCTCTCGGTTCCAAGCCACTGAATCCTGAATCCTGAGTCCCGAGGAATCCCGGGAAGCCCCCAAGGGCACCTGGCCAACGGAGATACGCGTATGCAGCGTACTCTACTTGCGCACCATCGTAAGTCGGTCGTTATGGAGTGCCATAAAAATGCGGACAGCCGGGGCTCAGGCAGCCATAAAATAGGCATTTCCAGCACATTTAGCCAAGGTGCAGTTATTACTTTTTACACAATTTCTTAGGACCATAAACCCAGGGCATGCATCAGCATTTTGATATCCGCAGCGGAACGAAGGCCAAGTTATATGCAGGATATGCAGTATATGCGGGACTCCAAAACTTTTTGGAGGAGCTGCATGACTTGGCAAAACTTCTGTCTCGGGGCGCCTCCAATTATGAGGCACACTGTACTGCTGGCTGGTGGCCAAAAGTGCCAGAAAGCGTTATGCTAATGCACATCACGTATTCGCCGCATGCACCGCAACGAGCAGTGACATAATGTGCTGCAACAGGAAAAGCCAGTGGAAATGGCAGCAATAGGTGTGGACAGGACAGCATGGAAAAAAGGGGGGAAAAAGGGGGGGGGGGGACAGACCAGCAGGACATTGGGAAAAACAACCTGGTACACTTAGCTTTTTGTCACTCGCCTTATTTCTAATGTTTTACGGTTTTTGTGGCTCTAAGTGAAAACGTGACATTGCGGCACAGACAAGTTTTCAGTTCGATTTCTTATGAGTTCCTTACAAACTTACAACTAGTTCGATTTTATGGCCATCAACTTACAAAGCAGAAACCGTTTGCTCTCTAATTGGTAATGCATATGTCTGGTTAACGTTCAACTAAGCGTATACTTAATATTTCTCACTTTTAATTTAGCTGCATCCAGATCTTAGATCTTTTAGCTTACTAAAAAATAACTAAAACTCTAGCCTAAAAACATGTTTACTAATTTTAAAATACAGGGTAATCAAAGCGGGTAAATCAATATTAATTATAAAAAGTATACCCCCCTTGACTACCCTTAAACAAGCAATTTAATTTTAGTTCCTGACCTTTCTAACTTTCTATATATATCTTTTTCGTTTCCCCCCGCCTACCTCCTCTATGCCATCTGTTTCTATATGAACATAACAATATACTATATCTGCATATACTTCTATAATCTTGTGCATTTTTATTTCAAAACCAACAACAAAACAATAATCAAACTAAAATAACGATTACCGACTTAATCATACCGTGCACGTGGTGTATAACATTTTGGGCTGCCACCTTCAACTTCCGACTTATCTCACAAATGCAATTCGAAAATCAACTCTGAAATAACTAAACAATTACCGCAAATCAAAACCTTTTGCCATCTGCTGTATATACAAAAAATTTGCATTCAACAATCTGCAACCAATTGCACTGCCAACAATGAAAACAAACAAAATATTTCGTAAAACAATACACAAACTATTTACATTCCTGCAAACAAAACCGAAACCAATGAAATGAAATAAATAACATAAAAAACGTATATGTACTATATATATAAAAACCACACACTAAAGGAGGGCATTGATGTAAGTATCTTCCACCTCATCATCAAGCATTCAAACAATAATACAAGTGCCCCTAAAAAACAATCCATGTGGGTATAATAACGATTATAGACACTGGTGGCCCATTAAAACTCTCCATAAAATGTTATTATTTTGTAATTTGGATAATACTTGTTTAAACAGCCGTTCTTTGTTTCACACTTGATGAGAACTCAAGAATCCCAATTGATTGGATTGGTATTTTGTTGTAGTTAGCTTTTTTTTACACCCTATTCAGCAAACAAAAAATAGAAACACAATAAAACAAGAAAAGTGCTTTGAATTGGCTTGAAAGTGTCTTGTTATTGGACAGAAAAGCATGACTACTGCATGAATATTTTTTGTTCGTTTTGAGTGTGAATGAATCTTTTAATACCATATAAGTTTTTGCATGAAATAATAAATATATTAAAGGGAATAGTAGGGTGGCAAATATTTAAAAGGTTTTGGAATCTATAAATCATTTAAAAGTTTTCATAGAGTATGCAATATATTTTTTATTTTGAAAATGCATAAAGTACATTCAAGTAAATCGCAGACTGATTACTATTTATGAGGTTTAAGTATCTATAAACCATATAAAAAGTTACCTAAGAGTATGCAATAAAGTATTTTATTTCGGAATTGCATACAATAATAGGTATATTGAAGTCAATCGCAGGGTGATTACTATTTATGAGGTCTAAGTATCTATAAATCACTTAAAAGGTTACCTAAAAGTATGCAATAATATTATTTATTTTTGAATGCTTACAATAATAAGTATATTAAAATAAATTTAAATCATTTAAAAAGGTATCAAAGGTATGCAATAATGTTTGTTATATTGGAATTAAGGTTTTGCAATCTTTCGTAGCCTACTTTTAGACTACTAGTTAAGTGATTTTAAATCTACAGCTGTATTAATCTTCAAAGGTTTCTGCAACGACCCCATACAAACTATATTAATTTGTTCTGGTGATTAATAAAAGCTCACTGCTTATTAGCGATAAGAAACTAAACTTTCAGCCAGTAAAAGTTTTAGTAATTTGCCAATTTTTAGGGACCTGTCTCGAGTTACAAATGCGATCCCAACCGCAGGGCAACCCGCACCAAGAGAATGATAGCTACGAGCTACTAATTAGACTTTTGATGGCGTTGGTCCACCCCATTTCCCACTTAACACATCCGCATCCCGAGCCCAAGTACGTGAACAGCTTTGCTCCTAACGATGTGAGGTCCACGCAAATTACACGTTGATGTGGAATTCCACCTCCTCCTCCATGGGAACCTTTTGCATAATTTAGTCATTCGGTTGGAGGGCTAAAGAGCGGGGATGGGGATATATATTTTGTGGCCCTGCCATATGGATAATGGCAGCCGCAGGCTGACACACGCTCTGCCACCGGCTTTTCAAAGTGTTGAAGTGTAAAATAATTACTTCATTTCATCAATGTGTGGGCGTATGCCACATCACATCACGTTCAAGGCGCCATTCGACTTAAGTATGAGCAATTTGACAAAGAGCCAGGCCACAAAAAAGCCAGGTCAGGCCGAGAAAAATATATATCATCGGCTTCGTGTGAAATTCAATTTAAGGAGCTTAGCCACCGCCAAGTGGAAACGGGTTCGAAATTTATAATGCCAGGATAAGCACATTTTTTAAAGCTTTGACGGCAAAAGGGTGCCCACTTAATGGGTTTCTAATCCCGTTAAGAACGCAAAAAGAATGCGCCAACTGCGTTTTCATGGCGCCAGTAAAACAAATGTTATCCGACTTTTCCAAGGATAAAGAAAACAAAACGATAAGTTCCACCTCGCAGCTTTCCACTAGCACCTTTAATGCACTGGGGAATAAAATATTGTATTTTGAGCCTCTACTTCATTGAATTTACGAACTTTAAACCTTAAGAACCTATCATATCAAAAATAGTATCCTATATACAAATATTGATATATATCTGAAATAATGAAGATATATGGTGTATGTACTTCCATCATTGCATACTTTTAAGCACTCTTTTAAAAGATTTTAAGAAGATCTATAAATAATCACATAACTCTATTAAAGTATTTAAAAAAGGTTTGCTCTTAAAAATTAAAACTTTTTGTCTAGTATAAAATAGAAATTTAAGAAAAATACTTTTAAGAGTAATACAATATATATATATTTTCCCCAGTGCACAAGTGAAAACTTTTGAACTTGAGGCGCCACCTTGGCCACGTTGCATAACCCCCAAAATTACAGACTGCATGACTGTGTGGGAGTGTACTATATATATATATAAAAGGTGGGCTTACATATGAGGGAAAATAATTCGATCAATTTGCCGGGCGCAAATGGAATCAATAAATTTCGTGTTTCCCTCGAGGAAAACACATCCGGTGCAATCGCAAATGAGACCGGCGAGTGCTAAAGACAAATCTGCTGTACCTGAGCCATAATTCATATTAATTAGCGAATGTCAACGGCAGAAAACACATGTATTAATTGGCTGCATGTTTCATTGGGCTTAATTAGGCTTTAGTATAACGAATGAGTGTGAGTATGGAATACCTTTTTTTATGCCTTCCGTATTACTTATTCCATTCCCTTGGGTTATTCCTAAGCATGACTTGTCGTATGTCATTAAATTCCTATAGTAAAAGCATGTTTTTATTATAATTGCGGATGTTTTGCATGAGTTCACGTCTTTGGCGCTTTGTATTTAACCAATCAAAACCGAAATCGCACCAAAAGACACACCTCGACCTGTAGTTTAGGTACATGATATTATAGGGGAACATTATTTAATATAATTCGAAAACTTGCAGGATAATCTGAGCAAAAAGAATGTTGTATTTTCCCCCACAACTTACTATTAAATATTTGCTGTACACAACACAAGATTTCAAATTTTTTATGGATTTAGCATACTTAAAGCTCATAAAAGTTAAAGAGCAATGATATTTTCCTTTGTTTTATTGATGAGTTTCAATAAAAATTTCTGCATTAATTACAAAGTTTTATTGTTCAGAACAAAACAAGTATGCCAAATCTAGGTTGTACCCCAAACTTATAAATAAACCTTTATGTAAAACTTGTATTTGAACGTTTTCTTAGAAAAAATCATACCAATTGTTATAATTTTATATCCACAGGGCGCCACAAAGTTGACCAAGGAAGATATTGAAAAAGTATTCTCGCTCTACGATCGTGTAAGTAAACCAAATAACTTAAGAATCTAGGAATTCAAGCCTTTAGCATTATAAAATTGTAAAACATTTTAATATCAACGCAGGACAACAGCGGCACCATTGAAAATGAGGAGCTCAAGGGTTTCCTCAAGGACCTTTTGGAGCTGGTCAAGAAGGTGGGTACCCTCTTAAGGTTAGGTAACGGGAGCTTTATTATTTTGGTATTCCCAGGACGATTACGATGCCCAGGATCTGGCTGCTTTCGAGGAGACCATCATGCGGGGAGTTGGCACCGACAAGCATGGAAAGATCTCCCGCAAAGAACTCACCATGATCCTGCTGACACTGGCCAAAATATCCCCCGACGACGAGGAGTAAGCCGTTGGCTGGAACACATACCAAAAAGAGATTTTAGCCAACTCTATTTTTGTCACCCGATCGAGGGGAATCCAGATAAGAGGCCAACGAGGGCTTCGAGGCAATTGTTTACTTTAGAGCTGCATCCAAAGGGCAGCGAAAAAAAGATTTTGGTATCGGGGGACGATCCTGAGCGAACTGGGATCCAAACCGAAACGAAGCTATTGGTAACACAAATCTAATATAAATGTTTCAATCTTAAATAAATGTTTATCGTACGTTAAGATGTTGAGAGTATATTTCCCCCAAAGTCAAAACCAAAACGGAAATTTATCCAATCAAACAATTTGCAACACTGAATCGAGCCACTTAAAGTAAACAATTAAGAAATGATAACATCAAGATCAGTACATCGATTTTATATTATATTATACATGTATTTATATTTTCTATGTGTATTTGCATAAAGTATTTTATTTAATTACCAATTAAAACTCGAAATAAAAGTAGTTATATATTTAAGGATACAATATTTATTTGAGATTACCTAAGCATAAACGTATATGTGTGGCTACAATCTGTAGATAATTGTTGTTAATAATTGTGTCAGTATCCCTTAACTCGGCAGCGTAATAAGTATTCTTCTCCCGAAGGGTGGGTGTATTCAGCACCCACATTGTACTATGTATATCTCCCGCAAACATCAATCAATCAATCAAGAGCCACTTGCATCAGCCCCAGGGTGGACGCTACTAATGCAGGTGAATGCAAATGCATCTCCCACCTGAACGTGACACTGTCACGCTGAAGGGTGGAAATGTATCTAGTTAACGTTAGAGACACTCGTCCTTGTATTTTCCACCTGAGGGTCTGTGCGAGGGGAGATTACGAGGTGCAGATTGAGGCCAGCTGGCAGCATTTCCACTCAATTTCCCTGCTTAGGCGAATCGGTAACTAAACCTTAACGAAAACTTAAAGTTAACCTACAACGCTATGAACTATCCAACGTTTTTCAAGGTGCTATAGCTATACAAATTACTACTTTTTCGGTTCCTTCCTTGCCTTTACCATTAATTTCTTTGAAACCAATCTAATTGAAATCTAAAAAACTAACAATTACTAACTTAAGCTTTAACGCCAAGACAAATTGGTACAATCTTGAAACGGAGTTTACCCAAGGATTCACTTTTAAAATTTCAAAATGATACGGATTAACTGAAAACCACTTCCATCAACTTTAAAAATGGAACCCTGAGTAAAACCTATTGTACACACCCGTACATGCAACAAAATGCCAACTTAACATATAAATAAACTAATTACGATACAACTCTATATGATAACATACTTATGCTAATCCTAAGATATTGTTCAAACCACATGCATGTAAAGCTTCGAAACTGACTTTCTCTATATATACAAGATACCAAATATCGAATATATAACTGGATATATGTCTAATACTATGAAAATACAACAGAAATGTTTTAATAAAGTAAATACAATCTATGCAGACATCAAGGGGTCAGCCCTCCAATCGCGGTCTTTCACTTTTCCTGTACCTTATAGAGGCGTTTGTAGCGCCGATTGCGTTTTTCCTGGAGCTCGAGAAGATCATTCAGTTTTTTCAGCATATCAGTGGCATCTAAAACTCGCTCGCTCATGGCGGGAGTAGATTTATCCAGATCCATTTCCGGATCAAGATGTTGGTTGACAAGGTCCATGGTTTTCTTGATGCGCAAACAGAAGCTAAAATGTAGTTTTGGTAGTGAGTTTTTTGAAAAAGAAAACCTGAGATATAGTTACCACTTGGCCTCTGTCATTATATTTCTGATAATAAGCTGCCAGGCCATGCAGTTTTGCAAATGCCAGACACAATAGCAACTCCCCAGAGTTTCCGTGAAGGGATCTTTCCATTCTTCGATGATCGCACACTGAGCTGGCGGAAATCTTACCTTCTCCACCAGCCAGGTGTGCCAAATAACAGCATCTCTGTCCTGAAAATTCACTTCACTGTTCCTGCCGTTCAAATGCAAGGATGAAAGTCCCTGTTGAGTTGCCATTGATGCCCAGACCTGGGGGTTCCTTCCGAAATGTCGCTCCAGAAAGGCTGCTGCCTCTTTTGGGTGGTCATGCGGATGAGGTTCACTTACGGGACCCAGCTCCATCATCCCATTTTGGAAGTTCAACCAGGAGGGGTTCGCGCAGAAAGATCGTGTTGTGTCATCTGCATAAGTAATAAAGGTTTCGCTAACGGATTTTATTTTGGAGAGTACTGAATTGGAATATACACTTCAACTTCTTAAGTCAATCCTATGGATATTATATCGTGCACTTTCCTTATGTATAATCAAATCTTATTTTCAATAAATATATAATATAATACTTTTTCAAAAACTTTCGAACATTTTCAAAAAATTTTATAATACCTTCAGCTATACTCAAACACTTCTAATGGTATTATATTTCGGTATACAATCTAACAATTACAATTTTATTCACAGGAAAGAGATTGGGTGGACAGGACAGAAGAGAAGAAATGCGGAGGGTCACATCAGAGCTTGAGGATTTCCCGTGATCGATCCTCCACTTTATTTCGCTTCCTCTATAGATATTCGTAACTCACCCGCTGCCGATGCTGACCACCAATTTGGTAATAGTCCCACAGCGGGGCGTGGCAATTTGTTTTCGAGTCATACTGGAAATTTTTTGGGGATATCTCGAAAAACGTACATAGAAAAGAGAAATAACAGTCGGAGACTACTAGCTGTTTCCAGCTCTCATGGCTCTCATGTCCAATTTCTGCTGGTAAGCCAGTCTCTGAAGAATAGTGGGATGAGTGTGATGCCAGCAGGCATAGCAGTTGTCGTAGACCGGGAAACTCATGTGATCTGCATAAATCTTGATCAAGGCCAACCTCAGTTGGATGGAGTAGCCCATGCGATGAGCGAAGCTATCAGCGGCATACTCGAAGCGCCGTAGATTCCACAGCATGAGGACGTTGGCCAGCGTGAGATATGGAGTCAGAGCAAATCTCAGGACGATGATGAATCCCACAATAATGGGCATAACGCCGGGCGCGAAGCCCACTGCCATGTACAGCTGCGGGCAGTGAAAGAACAATCCAAAGAGTCCCATGGTGAGGAAGAAGTGAATCTTCATGATGATCGTGGCCTTGTAGAAATGTCCGTGCTTCCAGTGACCCAACTCGTGGCACACCACGCCCGCCACCTGCATGTTGGTCAGGCCCCTGCCCACCTCATAGGGCAGGATCTCACTGGTGTCCTTTCCCTTGTTCAGCAGCAAGGTGTCAAAGATCACAATCCTCTTGAGACAGCAGCTTCCGTAAAAGTAGGCATTACTATACTGCATTGTCCGCGTCTTGATAATGAATACACGATTCATAGGGAAGCCAACCACATCGCAGACACGCTTCACCTCCGTATAGAGGGCAGTGCCCTCCGGCAGAACAACCTGTCGTCCAATGCACGGAATACAGCAGTAGGGCAGAAAGAAGACCAGCAGCAGGGTAAAGACGGCCCAGAAGAGCCAGAACCACAGGAAGAAGTAGTAGCCGATGAACTTTACGCTCATCACAATGGCCGCCGCCAACGGGATCAGGACGAGCTGGCTCAGAACAATGGCGAGGAGACCAATGCAGCAGTAGAGGTACCAAGGAAATTTTCCCGACATCCCGTAGCGCAGCTCCAGCAGGCACTTGTCGTAGATCAGCACCGGCAGGAACCTCAGACAGATGTAGATGGTTAGGTAGAACACGAAGATCATGCTGATCCAGACCTCCTCGGCGGTGACTCTTTGCAGGGACATGGCAGCCAGGCCCCAGAGGAAGGGATAGAAACCCAAGATCAGCTCACACAGTGAAATTATCAAGTCAATGATGTACTTCCAGAGCTGTAGCTCCGTTTTGTGCAGCTCATAGATACGAGCACGATGGTAAATTTCCGGCGGAATTATTCCTCTCAGCTCCTCAGGCACCATAATCGCATTCAGGCATACCAATTGCTAGGAAAAAAGATATCCGGAATCAGTGGTTAAATCCAAACCGAATTCATTACCACTTACCTGTCTCTTGGTGAGTATCATTTCCCATATTCGGTCAACTAACACGATCAGACATAAGATCACCAGTACTATGATAGGGTCTACCTTTGGCCAAGTATCGTAGAATGCCATCAAAACTTATCATGTTCCCCCAACAAACAACAGCACCAGTTGTAAAATATATGTCTATATTACCCAAGCCGGATAATTCAATCAGAACCTACTATGTTTGAAAAAAGAAACCAAAAAATATGTTGCCTAACGTCGAACATCCTCCAGGCGAGCCAAACGATCCAGAATGGTGGGATGCGTGTGATTCCAGCTGGAGTAGTGTGGATCCGAGACGGGAAAGGCCATATTATCCGCATACAATTTGAGCAGTGCCTGGCGAAGTTCACCGGCGTATCCGAGCCGGTTTGCAAACCTATCCGCCTGGTATTCAAAGCAGCGCGTCAGGCTCAGCATGCTGAAGTTGGCCAGCGTCATGTAGGGGGTCAGTACGAATCCGAATATGATGAAGCATCCAATGACGATGGGCTGCAGGCCGGGGGCAAATCCCACAGCCTGATAGATAGGACCGTGGGCAAACATGAATGCAAACAGCAAGATAGTCAGTATGAGATGGACTTGGAAGGCCATGATCGCCTTGTAAAAATGTCCGTTCTTCCAGTGACCCAGTTCGTGGGCCACAACAGCCGTCACCTGGGGATCCGTCAATCCCCTGCCTAGCTCCTCTGGCGACAGCTGGGTGAGATCTTGCTTGCCCCTATTCAGCAGCAGGGTATCGAAGATCACAATTCTCTTCAGACAGCAGCATCCGTAGAAGAAGGCATTGCTTCCCGTGTTGGGGTCGTGCACCCGGATGATTCGCACCTGGCTCATGGGAAAGCCCACTTGCCGTGTAAGGTACTCCAGTTGGTTGCGCAGGTTCGAGTTCTCCAGCGGCACACGCTTGCCCACAAACGGGTCGATCAAAAAGGGAACCAGCAGCAGTATTATGACCGTCAGGATCAGCGATTGAAGGTACAAGCCCAGGGGAGCGTAGGGTCCCAAGCCGATAAACATGTACACCAAGGCGACTACTACGGCGATGGTAACTACTGCTCCCAAGATCAGGTCGACGACAAAGTGACAGATGCGGAAGCACAATGATGGTTTTGCCCTGGGTTGCAAGCTCTTGATGCAACATTTCTCGTAAATCATTGCCGGAACGTTCTTGACCCAGAAATAGACGCTCAGCATGAGCACGAAGATCACGGAAACGCAAGCCTCGTGCTCCATCCACTTGCCCAAGGCGCATTGGGCGGCCATTTCATACAGCCAGGCGTAAAAACCAAAGTACAGCTCCAGAACACCCATTATAACCGCCGTAAGCAGGGTGTTTACAATCGTGAGCCAGCCTTTGTGGATTTTGTAGACGCGCATCTTGTCGTAGAGTTCCTGCGGCAAATACGGGCTGATCACACTCGGGACTTTGTTTGTTTTGTATGCCAAATGTATCTGTAAGAAAAACGAATTTGAAAAAAAATACTTGAAAGATACGTTCATCACTTACGTCTCGCAGCAGCAGATAAACGGCCCATAGATTGTCCAGTATCAAGAAGGCAATGATTATATAGAGTATAGCTGCTGGATCATCCCAGAAGTATGCAGACATGTTGGGATCCTCTGACAACAGTCTGACATTTTAGGCATATTTTTTTTTAAATTTGTAAGCTCCGTTAGGGAATCATTTTCGGCTAGGTTCTGACTGACGGATTTTAAACTACCAGTTTATATGTTCAAAATCAGTTCAAAGTATTCAAAACTTGCAAATGATCTGTTAAATTAACATTCCCCTATTGCAAAATCTTAAATATTTTGTTGGGGCCTGTCCCCTTACTTTATTATTTATTTGTACGTTAAAACAAAGGGAAACGTGTATACTTTGGTCTTGTGTGATTTTAGCGGTCCTAGTTCAGTTTCTTTTCCTCCTTAAGCTCCTTGAGGCGATTTAGCCGCTGGAGCAGAGTGGGATGAGAGTGGTTCCAGGTGGAGTACAGCCAATCGTACACGGGGAAGCCTAAGTTGTCCACGTTTAGTTTGATAAGAGCCTGACCCAACTGCTCAGCGAATCCCAGCTTGAAAGCGAACTCATCAGCCTGGTACTCAAATCGTCGCGACAGGATCGTCAAGGCGAAATTCATTAGGGCGTTATACGGGGCCAGGACATAGGTAAAAACGATCAGCAGCCCCACGAGAATGGGACGAGTGCCGGGCTGGAAGCCCATGGCCACGTAGAAAGGTGGATATTTGAAGACATTGCCAAAGACCAGGAACATCAAGAAGAGATGAACCTGCATGATAATGATGTTCTTGGTGACGTGTCCCAGTTTCCAGTGCCCCAGCTCGTGTCCCAAGACAGCCAGCACCTCCTCGTCGGTGCAGCCCTTTCCCTTTTCCTCCTCAGACAGCTCAGAGTCGTCGGGTTTACCTTTGTTTAACAACAGCGTGTCAAACAGCACAATCCTTTTCGAGTTCCAGAGGCCGTAGAAGTAGGCATTGCTGTGCGAGGAGCGCTTGGATCCTTCTACCACGAACAGCTTGGTGAGCGGGAACTTGAGCGAGGCGGCCAGATCCTCGATGGACTGCCTCAACACACCCTTCTCCAAAGGAGTATACTTGTCAAACAGGGGAGCAATGAAAATCGGGTACAATGTGAGTAAAACCAGCGAGATAACGCCGGTGAAGATCCACAACCAAATGAAGAAGTTGTCTCCGCCGCGCTGGACAATAAAGATAATGGCGGCCGTGATGGGAATCATTAGGACCTGGGTAACAAGGAAGCCCTTGAGCTGATCCCAGGCGAAGAACCGTGCCGTCTGCTTGTTGAATCCGTGCGTCTCCTCCAGCACGAAGATCTTGTAGATCTTGAAGGGCAGTCCCTTGAATGTGCTCAGGACATTCGAGATCAGAACGAAGAAGCAGCTGACGATGATCTCGTTCTTGGAGTCCCAGTTGAGCTTGTCCACCACCTCGACGGACAGCTGCCAGAGCAGGGCGATCAGTCCGATGTAGAGCTCCAGGCACAGCAGACCCACGTCCATGACCACCGCCTTGAAGATGCCGAAGTTCTCCTGATCAAGGCCGTACTTCCGCGCCTTATGGAACGTATCCTCGCCCATGTGTGACGTCAGCTCGGCGGGCACCTGCAGTGCGGTGCGGTACACTTTCACCTGGCGGTGGATGAAGAGGGGAATGCATTAAACGGGGCAAGCAATCCGCGCAGCCAATTAACATTTGCGACTCTAATTTTATCATTCGCGATTCCGCATTGATAAAATTCCTCGGCAATGTCGCCATCTCGCTTTAACAAGCCGGCAACAGGGAAAAACTCACCTGGCGCAGCGATATGTAGATCTCCAGGGCATTCTCAATGACAACCAAGAGCAAAATGCTCAGCAGCACGGTCTCTGCGTCCAATTCCGACATATTTAAATGCTATTTCATTAGAAACTAATAAAACTGGAATTTTATTTTACAATCGTTTCGTGACGAACCTCTAGTATGACCGTCGCGCGGCCGTTAAAATATATCACGACGCAAGCGATTTGACAGATCTGGCAACGCCGGCTGCAAGGGAATCAAAACAAAATAGGAATTAAGATGTTATTCCTGCGGCGATTTTATAGCAAATCGGGGCGTATAGCCCAAATATATAGGTCCCATAAGCCAGGAGACTCTTTGAGCATACAGGTAGGCTCCATAACTAATAGTCTAAATCCATTGCCCATTCAAAAAATGTAATTTCCAACTAGGGCTGGATCAAAAATGTTCGCCGGCTGAAGAATAACACATTTCTGGACATAAATGATGGATCCACGAGCAATAGGTTTCAGGTGGTGGTGCCGCGGACGCCGGAAAACCAGCACTTAGCTCCAGGCAGCGTCATTTCGGCGGTGGGTCAAGTCCAAGTGTCTCCAAATGGTAGCTTTGAGTTGCATGCGGATCGGGTGGAAACGTTGGGTAACTATGATGGTCCCAAGATTAAGGAACAAGATCCTCTTAAAACAACATCTCCATCCCCAGCTGAAGGACACCTGCAGGAGGGCTATCCATTCAGCCCGAAGCAGAAACATCCACCGGAATATGTCCGCGAGCATTTGCATCTCCGTTCCCGCGTTGATTTAGTGGCCGCCCAGATGAGGTTCAGGCACAAGGCCCAGAAAGCCATTCACGACTACATGGATGAGCTGGACTTCGTGCAGATCAACACTCCCCTGCTGACCACCAATGATTGCGAGGGAGCGGGAGAAGTGTTCCGGGTGCAACCGGACTCGGAAGCTCTGCTCAAGCAGATGGCCAGACCGAATGTTCCCCTGGAGCAAAGCTACTTCGATAGCAAAGTGTTCCTCACCGTCTCCGGGCAACTACATCTGGAGGCCATGACCTACGGCCTGGGGAACACATACACTCTCTCACCAGCCTTCCGAGCGGAGAACTCCAAGTCGCCACTGCATTTAGCCGAGTTCTACATGTTTGAAGCGGAACTGGCCCATTTGGAGGAGTTGGAAAAGTTGGCGCGGTTCATTGAACAGATGCTTAAGTCGGTGACAAACCGCCTGCTGGAAACGAGCTCCGAGGATCTTAATTTCTGTCAGAAGAACTCAAACTCCAGCTCTGATCTGCCTTGGTTGCAAGTTCCCTGGAAGATAATGAGTTACGATGAAGCCCTGCAAGTCCTGCAGGAAAATAAGGATAGCCTGAAGACTTCCATAAGCCTGGATGAGGGCTTCTCCAAGGACCAGGAACTGTTTCTAGTGGCCCACTGTGCTGCTCCCGTATTCGTTGTGGATTGGCCTGCGCAGCAAAAACCCTTCTATATGAAGGTCTCCCGCACGAATCCCAATCGAGTCCATGCCCTGGATCTCCTGATGCCGGCTGTAGGGGAACTATGCGGTGGTAGCCTGCGTGAAAGTGACCCAGCGATATTAAAAGCACATCCGCAACTGCCAAAGGATCTGTCCTGGTATGTTGACCTGCGAAAGTATGGAGGAATTCCAACTGGAGGATTCGGCATGGGCTTTGAGCGTTACTTGCAGCTTATCACGGGCGTTAAGAACATCAGAGATGTGATACCCTTTCCCAGGTATCCGCACAGCTGCAAGATGTGATTCGTTAAAGGTGTAAAATATGTCGGTTTATTATGTTTGAAAGTGTAATAAATGTATATTACTCAAGACAATATTTTCAATCATAAACATTAGGAAATTGTAAGTGGGGTCTACATAAAATTGGTTTCTTTACTACGAACATAATTTTCGGTGCTCTGTAATCTCTCAGGCCAGCTAATAAGCCTCTATAGCTGCCCCAACATGGGCTTGCGACCTGGCCAGGCCTCCTTGGCGTATTTCTTTTTCTGCGGACACAGGGCGTCGCCCTCTCCACTAGAGTCATGCGGATCCTCGCCATAGCGACGCACTGAAAAAGCAATATGGGCAATCAGTCGAGAATTTGGTGGGGGATAATCGTCGGGACCATTACCATTTGCATTAGCCACAGCCAACTTTTGGGCCAATGTCGAGGTGGGCTCCACGGCCTCATCGAAGACGGGCATCACCTCGGGCGCGGGATTTGGCAGGAGCAGGCCCAACTTGGAACCGATGCTCAGGGGAGAGATGGGCTCCAGGTCACCCTTGCCATGGGTTTCGGCCGGGAGGCCTTGATATAGTGAATTAGTGGGCGAGTGGGGCACTGCATTGGGTGGAGGCATTTCCCTGTGCTGCTGCTGCTGGTGCTTCATGTCCGCCAGGCTCTGCTGGAACAATTGGTGCACATGGGCGGCATTGGCACTCGCCAGGCTGCTGCCCGAATGGATGCCCATGTGGTTGACATCGTAGCGGGCTCTCTTGGCGGGCACTACAGTGGTTTGCACCAGGTTCCTGAAGCGCCCCACATTGGGGTCCACATCCTCGGGGTTGATGACAATCTCCTCGTCGTTAAATGTGACATTCCGGATGCGCCGACCCTGCTTCAGGGCGTTCTGCTTTCGCATGTTGGTGTCATCATCGATGCCCAACATAGAGATGCGTCGGTTGTGGGCCGTGTTGTACTCCGTGAGATTCTGGATGGGAATGGACGGTTAGTTAACATGGAAAAGAGCGTCTACTGCAGACTTAACCCACATCAAGTTCGGTTTGGCTTTCGGGAAGACCCAGCAGAGCTCCATCGCTGGTTTCACTGAGCGGCAGGTCCTCCATGATGTTGCTGTGGTGGCCAGAGGGTCGTTCCCTGAGTATGTAGTTCCGGGTGGAAGCCCCAAAGTGAAAGGTGCTGTTGATCTGCAGTTGTGTGGGCTTGTGCGCCTCCAGTCTGAGGGTTCCAATAAAGGTGCCATGGGCTGGGGGAGATGACAAGTGGGTTAAGATGGGTAGAAACTGGTAATCCGGATTTCAGCACTTACTGGACCCCAGATCCACGAGGTAGGCTATGTTGAGGTGCTTGTGGTACACAAATGCCGAGTGGACCCGCGAACAGGAGGCGTGGTCAATGCAGAAGTCGTTCATCTGGCTGTTGCGACCGAATAAGTAGCATCTTTTCTCATCGACCATCAGTTTCTGGACTAGTTTCTCGTCCTTCAGCACATCCAGATGCAACCCAGTGGGCGGTTTGCCGGCCCTAAAAAGAGCAAATATTACTTGCTTCTGGGGGAACACAGTTGCTGCCTTTATTAACTCACCAACTGGGGATGTCGTAGCTGCTGGCCATGCGATAATATTTAGTTAATTCGTGTTGAAAGTCGGTTAAACCCGAATTTGTTTATTTTTATGAAAAATCCTTGCCCACCGGCCAGTGTGTACAAATATGGCCAAATATTGCGACCAATACGATAGTATCGATGGCCAAAGTAGCTATAAAAGGGATATTCCTCCTTTTTTTGGGAGTTGTTTGATATTATTTTTATTTGTTATATGATTTTTTCTACTCAAAGGTTCAGAATAACTTATTCTATATTTATTATAGTTATAAATAACCTTTGTTCATTAAAATATAATAAATTAATACAAAATTAAAAAGAACTAGCTCGATAGTTATAAGCCACCGATCATTCCGACGGCCAGAATGTTATCGATAAGTAATTCGTTCTAGGTGGTGTATTTGAATGATCGCGGTACGGTCATACCTTTCCAACTCAACGGACGGAGAAATAAACATAAATAACGACAGCTGAGAATTCTAAAAATAATACAGGCAACTACCACTAGTTAATCCAATTAAGGCGGCTTAATTAATTACTGCTTAAAAAACGAATGTTACATAAATGAAAGTAGCGTGTGCAAGTAGCCCTTTCGCTTTGTTTTTTAATGCTGTCGCATCCGCAAACCTGTTTTGGATGCCCGTGAACTCATCTATTGCCACCTTGTGACGACGTCTATAGCCGAAAGTATTAATCATAGATAATTGACGGACGGAAAATGGTTACGACTTCGGTGATTGCCGACCTGTGCATCTTCCTGCTTACCTGGAACGTTGGCACCCACTCGCCGCGGGAACAGGACCTCAGCTCCCTGCTGTCCCTCAATGGGAACACCACCTGTCCGGACAACCAGCTGCCCGACATATATGTGATTGGGTTCCAGGAGGTGAGCACCTCTCAGGTGCTGAAGATCTTCCAGGACGACCCGTGGGTGCTGAAGATCGCCGGCGCCCTGCAGGACCACCAGTTCGTCAAGGTGGACTCCAAGCAGCTGCAGGGCATCCTGATAACCATGTTCGCCCAGCACAAGCACATTCCGCACATGAAGAACATCGAGTCGGAGGCCACGCGCACCGGTCTGGGTGGTCTGTGGGGCAACAAGGGAGCAGTGAGCATCCGACTCTCCCTTTACGGAACGGGCGTAGCCTTCGTCTGCTCCCACCTGGCGGCCCACGATGATAAGCTCAAGGAGCGCATCGAGGACTACCACCAGATAGTCGATAACCACAAGTACAATGCCGAGGGATATCGCCGCATCTTTGACCACGACTTTGTCTTCTGGTTCGGAGATCTCAATTTCCGCCTGTCCGGGGAGATGTCCGCATGGGATGTGCGCACGGATGTGGAGAACATGCGCTATGCGGATCTGCTCAAGCTGGATCAGTTGAACCTGCTGCGGGAGAAGGGCAGCGCCTTCAGCCTGCTGGAGGAGCAGCAGCCCGACTTTGCACCCACTTTTAAGGTAATTATTAAATCTTTGACCTCATTATCTCAAAGATAGAAGGGTTTGCTAACCTAGACCTTCTTTATCTCAAATTCAATTATATCATAATAGATATCAGGTTCAATTTAGATTAGATTTACTAGAATTTTGTTTTGTTTTTTGTCACATGCGTGAATAGGGAATAAATCTGCTCGTTCTCTGTCGCTACACAAACAATGTACAAAAGCAGTCGTCACACAAATAATCTCATACGCTAGAGCTATTTTACCTTCGTTAGGGAATTCACAAAAACTTTTATCCGCTGGGGATTCCCCTCAGTTAAAATTGCCTTTGGTTGTCAATCAAAGCCAGCAAATTACGTTTTTCCAGCTAACTTTAGAGCCAAAAGCTGGCCAATAATTAAGAAATCGATTTAATTCCCCTTATCTCAAGTACCCATTTAATGACAAATTGATTTCCCTGCAGTTCGTGGAGGGCACCAACAACTACAACTTAAAGCGACGACCAGCCTGGTGCGATAGGATTTTGCATCGCGTGCAAAGCAACATTTATCCGGGCATTACCCTGAGTGCCAACCAGCTGTCTTATCAGTCTCACATGGACTACATGCTCTCCGACCACAAGCCCGTATCGGCCACGTTCAGCTACAAGGTCGACGCAGCCAATCGGACCTTCACCGATGAGGAGCTGCACGAGATGACGCACGGAGCTGCTCCATCTACCACCGCGCCAAATGTTAGTCTAACCTTCGCTTTTGCTGTGCTTGTAGCTCTGTCCTGTACTCAACTTTGATTTCGCTTTTTTTGTAGTTATTTAACGCTGAACTAGAGCAATGGTAGCGCCGCCATGACGTCACTTAATTGTATACTTATAAATCTCTTTGCATGCTTTTGCGTAGAATCGATCTGTAGTCGAGTTGTAGAGTAATCAAAAGACTTCCTTGCAGAAGGAACCAGAGAAACGAAAATAATATCAAGAACAATGTGATGGAATCTCGCTAATATAGCAATCCTATAAGCAATTCTCAAGTGATCCAATACACGTATCTAAACTCATAGTATCAGTCAATTAAGATGCGATTCTGTTAAAGTTTGATTATTTTAAATAAATGTATTTTTGTACAAAAACCTGTTGATCGAATAAATAAATCTGTTGGCTCTCGAAGTGATTCATATTTTGTGTTTTTAAAACTGAATTATAGGAGGATGACAAATTAAAACGTTTCGATTTGTTTTTGGGTTTTATCAGCAATTTGTATTCTTTATTAGCTATGTTCGTGGGTTGAACAGTTCTTGTCCCTCGCCTGGGCAACGTAAAATAAAATAATTATAAATATAAATATAAGTATATACATAAGCCACCTTTAAATTACTATTAAAGCGCTTTGTTGAACTTAAGTATGCTGAAATACGTTTTTGCAAAAAGGTAATTCACAAATATATAAGGGTACATTTTTGTTTCTAAGAATAAGTAGTATTCTCAATTAAGTATGGTTAAATAGGTCTTCGCATAAAGGTAATTAATAAATATATAAGTGTACATGTATTTTTGGATGAAGCGTTTTATGTGGGATAAATGCTAAGGTACAAACTAACGTAAAATTGCCACCTTTATTCCCTAACTCACATTAATTTGCGTTCAGGATTCACTTTAGCTGTGGTTCAGATGGCACAACAACAAAACATTAAACGAAGTTAACACAGTAAAACTCGAATATCTGATTATCATATAGATTAGCATTATTGAACCAAATGAGTGTAAAAGTGTCTGTTCTCGATTTTTGTATCTTAATTTACTAACGGACGTTTTGTTCTTTTTCTTTGAATTTCTTTGCTCGAATAGATAAGCAATTTGTTTCACAGTATACCTTTTTTCCAATAACCATACCAAGTGGTCCAAGTATTTGTTGTCGTTGGATATAACGATTGCATAAGAAGCGACACCGAACCACAAAAACCACGCGACCTTATCGCGTGTCTCCGAACATAGTTGTTATCTAACTAGTTACATAGATACGATTGAGTGTAAGTATAATCTCCAGTCAGGTTTGGTTAATTTCGATTTCTATTGAAGAACACATTTGTCTTTTTCGCTGATGTCCACGTGCTCCAGTACCTTCGCGATCTCCTGGTCGTCTTCGATCCTGAAATGGATTGGAACTTAATTTCTGCCATGATCAGAGGGCGAAGCTCCTAACTTACGCTTTCTCTTGGTTGTGCAGATGCTGCACCAACTGGTCACGCTTGTCGACAATCGTCATCAGCTCCTCGAGCAGCAGCCGCTCCTTCTCCCGCTGCACTTCCGTCTTGCGCCAATCCTCCACAGATTGCGCCGCCCGCAGCTCCTGGTTCAGCATTGTATGCTTTCGCTCCAAATCTTTTTCCTGTTCGCTGCGGGGTATAAATAGCCATATGATTGATAGTTCAACCAACTGATAGTGAGGTTTGATGATTGCTTACAGTATGTTCAGCTGCATTTGTCGCCGGAGAAGTGCGTTCTTTTTGTTGACCAGCGTAAACCATTGCGATAGCAGTTGCTCCTCCGTTTCCTCGGTCTCTGTGGAATGTTTAAATGTCTTGTTATTGATAGCCTTTTTATGGGGGTTTTTCTTTGTGAATAACTAAGATTAATTGAAGCTGGCCTGTTCTGATAGGACTTGTTAAATCATTCTTGGGAAGTTTTTATATCCGTTTTATAAGTAACTTAGAATACTTTTAGTTATTAATAGATATTATAATATCATCTGAACCGTTGTTGAAATAAGTTAAATGATTATATACTTTTATACGAGAAATACGTTTAAAACGGCTAAGTATTAATATTTCTACAAATCAAATTGGAGTAAAATACTCGAAAGTAAAAAACGTAACTGGCCTGGTAAATAAACTAAAGCAATGGGAACCATAGATGGTTATACAGTCAAAAAACCAGAACAGGCTCTTCGTGCTTGGTTTTTCTCTAAGTAGACGTCCTTAGGCGGTCTTTAAAGCTGCTGCAGAGCGCTGACTCTGTGATTAGTGAGCATTATACCAGGTCAGATAGAACCAAATCGGAACATATATAGTTAGACACAATTTGGAACGGTTGGCCCGGCCAAGTTAATAAGCAAACACAGACACAAATTAGCACAAACAAACGGCACAGGGGATGAGCGATTGATTGGATGCGATTGAAAGATGCTAGCGGGCAGGCGGAAAGGCGGGCGATCCGGAAGATCTGGGCGGGCTGGCAGTCAGGCGGTGAGGCGTGGCAGTGCATCGGCAAAAGCGATTGGCAGAGCAGCTCAATGGATCAGGCATGAGGGGATGGGCCGCACTTTACCACAATGACTGGGGGTGTGACACAAATGGGAGCGCCGCTCCCGCCGCTGACGGCGTCGCCTGTGGCGATCCTGCTGCCGCCGCAAGGAAGCCGCCCGGCCGGTGGCCGCCAGCGCCAGGACCTCGTCATCCTCGCTGCACGCGGGCAGATTGTCGCAGGAGGACTGCTGCGAGGAGAGCGCCGACGGGGAGCTGTCTAGCATGTGGGTGTAGGGCACAACATGATGCACATGATGCGGACGCAGATGGGCGGGCGAGGTCATGGTCGATGGATGCACACTCTTGGGCACATTCACAAAGCACGAATGGGAGCGCGGCCGGGGGCGCTGGCGCGTGTGCAACTCGTCGCCGGAGTTGCTGACACTGTCGCTGGACGTGTCCCGGTCGTCGTCCTCGCTACCACCACCACCACCGCTGCCGGCACCTCCTCCACCAAACAGGCTCTCGTCATCCGAGTCGAGCAGCTTGATGCGTATCACATCACCACCACCAATACTATTTCGGATTAGCCTAAGGATGGGGTTGCCGTTTCGGGCGCTACCCCGACGATTATTACTTGGATTGCCGCCCATCACGGCGCGCAGCTTGGCCTCCAGACTGCTGGCCTTCTGGTCGATGGCCTCCTGCTCCCGCTCCAGGGCCTCCAGCTCGGATTCAATGTAGGACATCTTGTCACCCTGGAAACAGCACTCAAGTTATACCTTGTCACTCCAAAAATCAAACTCTTTCAGCCTACCCTCTTCTCGTGCTTTGGTGAGACGCGGTCCACAATTGCGTTGAAGGACTGCAGGGGACTGCCATTAACTCCGAGGCCCTTAAGACCACTTAACCTATGACTAGGACTGCCCGGTTCCTGCGCATCCAGCTTCTTTGACTGCTCCAGGTAGAACTCCTCGGCTCCGTTGTGGATGGGCGAGATGGTCCGCTCCAGCTTGGGCCTCGTGGGGCTGGTGGGGCTCTCGAGGGAGCCGCCGCTCCGCACACGCGTCTCCAGGATGAGGCGACGAGCCTGTTCCCGCAGACGCGCCTGTCGATCCTCCTGCCAGGGCAAAGACATCGAGAGAAGTGAGTGAGGATATGAACTAATTGGGCCGTTTTATAGTAAGAAAAGTATACAAAATATAGGGTTTTCTTGGAAACTCAATGAAAACTGTTTAGGATCGTGAAAGAAGATATTTTATAAGTGCCATATGGCTACAGTTAAGCAATAATTAATATACTAAACAATTTACTTTTACAAAAGGTTCAGTACTTTGGTTTACTTTAGTAAAACGATCAGGGCCGATATCTCAATGTCATGTCAGGACTCTGATTTCTTAATTGTTAAAGAAAGTTAAGAAAACTTTTTTTTACATAGAACATTGCCTCAAAATATGTGTTTTCAGTCAGATAAACACTAATATGATATTAAGCAACTGAATGTTTCTGAAAAAGCAACGACAAAAGTTAACTTGACATTGTGAAATCGTCGCTTAATCAATTTAATTGCTAAACATTTTTGATTTTGAGAGGAAATATTAGTCTGCATTGTGTTTTTTGTTTTATATTGTTAGGGAACCCCCAATAATAATATTACTATAATAACAAAAAATAATATATAATAGCTAAAGAACTATAATCTTTGACAGAAAATATTACTTTCTCATTGTCATTTTCATATTTGTCATTTTTATATATGTAAATATTTTGTTTCAATGTGTTTATATTACTAAGGAAAACCCCATAATAATAATACTGTTTATAGAAATCAAGAAGACATGCAAGAGATAGCTGCGCTGCGTGCGGCGAACGCGAACTGCGTCTCTGGCAAGAAGCTACTTACGTCGTTCGCCTCGCTGGAATTGTAAAGCTTTAGCTTTTCCATCATCAGCTTGGCTTTTTCGCTCATCAGCTTGTGGCGCGTTAAGATTCGCTACAAATCAAATCATAAATAAAGCAAAAAACAATAAAACCAAGTATATACAGAACGGAAAAGCTATGGGAAATCAACTGCAAAATAGGCAAGTAATTAAAGCAACAACTCAATGGATAACTTCAACTCAACGAGGCAAATACTTTGATCCTGGCTTCTACTCACACTGGCCGCCTGGGGATCAATGACGGATTTGGAGATGTTCTCCTTGCCACCCACGGGAGGACCTTCGTCCAGGGAGTCCTCCAGCGGCGGAGGCGGTGTCTGGCCGCTGAGCACCGACGACTGATTGGCATGCTGCGACGCGTTGATCGAGTTCTTGTCCTTGGTGGGCGACATCACCTTGTCCAGTATGTTCTTCGAGTTGTTCAGAATCTGATTCTTCACATCCTTTTTCCTAGTGGGCGACAGTTGCTCTGACTTGTTGTGTCCCATGATCTCCTCATCGATGGAGTTTTGATGCAGCAGCAAACTCTTCGGGTGCGAAAAGACGATGCGACTCTGCGACAAATTGTCCGACATATAGTCGCCAATCACGTAGCTCGACTCATCTGCCGTAGATCCTAAAAAGAATACAAGTTTTTAAGCTATATCATTTGCATTTCCTTGTCTTAGCTTACCAATTTGCTCGATTTTCAGCTGCTTGCCGGTGAAATGCGCCCTCAACTGATGCAAATAGGTCATCACGCCCAACTTGTCCGGCACTGTCAGCATGTTCATTTCCCGTGGCTCGATTACGCGGGGTATTCCCAAGGATTCCGCCGCATCGAAGGCAATCCGACAGTTGCCCACCACATCATGGGCACTCAGCTGGGACATGTCACTAAAAAGGCAACAAAATTAATTAGTTCACAGTCGCTTTTGAGAATAAATAATTAGTTTCAATATTTAGAATATTTAGATATAAGGTAGAAATAAGATAATCAATCATTTGTTCGATCTTTGTGTCTCTAGTAATCTTATTTCGGTTGAAAATACCAATTAAATTGTGACAAGCCACACAATCTCAGTTGGTTTTTGACAGTTAAGAACTATAGAACATTGGTGGATACTTAGATTAATTTTAAGATTTAAAAGGAATATTAGAAATCAACTAATTTTAACGATTAAAAATAATTCGTTTTATCTTTTGTGACCTTGTTTCGGTTATAAGTAACTAATATATCATGACAACTCACATGAGCTCAGGCGCAAAGTGATGGATGATAGCGCAGAAGGCCATGCCGTTCCGCCAGCTGGTCGTCAGGTTGGTGACCTTAACATTGTTGTAGTCTTTGGTAACCTCTTTGCACCACTCCAGCAGATCCTGCCCGGGAGTGTTCGTCTTAAGCACGATCTTCTCCACGGGCTTTAGGCTGTTGTTCAGCGAGCCAGAGGTACTCAAACCCGACTGCGATCCTGTGGATTCGTTTATCACAGATGCGGGTGCGAGTGCGGGTGCGGGCGCAGGAGTCGGCGAGGGTTCGTAGCTCTTCTTCAGGTTCAGGGGCTGCAGCTCGGGGCGCTTGACACTCGGTGGCACCACCACCACAGATGAGGCCTCCTTAGCGGACTTGTTCTCCTCTTTGGTCGTTTCCTTTTTGGTGCTGCTGTCGCCACTCTCCTCCTTGAGACTCGTCACCCTCAAATCCTGCTCATCATCCTTCTCGGTGAAGAACAAGGCCCTTTTCTTCTTTGGCTTCGCATCATCTTTGCTTGCTTTGGGTTCCAGCGGCGTTGAGGTGACCATTTTGTCAAAGGTCTCGATGGTCTTCGACCTCGCTGGCTCCACAGGTGTTTGCTTGGCCGGCTGCCTCACCTCCCCAGGTGACTTAATGGGCGTACTGTCCACCAGGGGCTGCAGTCCATTGGGAGTTTTGAGGGACTCGTCGGCACTACTAAGACCACCGGTTGCTCCGGTTGCTGTGCTCAAGTCTAACTTGCTCGCAGCCTCGCCTTTGCCGTCGCCTTCTAGTTCAAAATGCAATTGATTAATGGACTCGGCCAACGGTGTTGGATCTTCAGATAACGAAGGTACTACATCATAACAAACCAAAAATGAAACGAAAAACAAAAGAAAATATACATTTAACAATTTACGCACAAATTACAGGTTGCAGGAAACCATTCAAGATACGTGATGTTGTGTTGTAGATGTTATGGGATATATAGAAAGGAAATAATTTCGTTTTCAGTCAGAGAGAAATGTCTGTACAAGATATCTACAGCTAAAATGCTAAAATTAGAGCCAATTGATTTGTTGTCTCAGAGTTTGTGGAATTCGGAATTCTGATTTGTGTGGATTAGATCATGCATGATCAAGTTTACATATATGGCATCTACGAGATGCGTAGTTCGAGAACTCTGATCTATTACATTTACTAACGTGTAACATACTTAGCCAAAGCGCTTCTCATAAATGAAACAGAGTTTTGAGCTCCCTTTCCCTTATGTTCAGCCATGGATATACATAATATACATATAGGTTCTAGTCCATTTTTACATACTAACAGATACAAATTCTTGACTTTAAGTACACAAATCATTATAACTGGGTTATGGAAGAGTTCTTACCACTTTGAGGGGTGTCCAAATCAATGCAGCCATTCAGGCTAATTGTCAAATGCTTTAGTTGCTGGGTAAAGTCAGTGATTTCACTACAGTTGTCAAAATCGGGAATGTCCTCCAAGTCATCCAACGGCGCCACATCATTGTTGTTCACGGACATCATAGAGACAACGCTCTGCATGTCTTCGTCCCTGGAATGGATAGAAATAACACATTGAATCAACATTCTCAGTATAATATTCAAGGATATAGGACTCACGTGGCCTTTCCTTCCCTCAAGAATACACAGCTAATCGTGAGTTCCAGACTTGCTGCCGTAATCTTCTTCGAGACTGGCTTTAGGGTCAACGTAAAGCTCTGCTGAGTGGATTCTACGCTGGCATACTTCCTCATATTGATGCTGGCATTGGCCAGGACGCGTTTCTTGCCCATTGGGGTGACCTGTTCAGGGATAGATCACCGGTTACTGGTAAGGAACTTCATTAATTTGGTAGTTTAACCCACATCTTCGATGACAAACGTCCAGTCCTTGTCCTCCAGCTCGTGCGTCCGCGGATCCTTGAACAGGGTGACCGATATGGTGTGATTGTCGGGCACTGGCCAGGATATATTGCCCACCAGGGGATTCATCATATCCGGCTCCCATGGCAGCGGAGCACTGGCCACTCGTCTAGATCTCCTGGTCCAAACGATAGAGAGGTTCGACGGTCGCCTGAAAATATGAACATCATATTATTACTAATTCATGCCAAATGGGGATCTCAAAAGTTCTTTTAACCATATTTCTGTATAAGATCATGAATAACAATTTCTGTCCGCCGGATGCGAAGTCATTATATGTACGTATATATTTGGGCTCTTTAGCTGATAAATGAATGTGATGAATGTTTACTAAACAAAAATTCAGAAGGAAACATTGTATGTCAACGGAAAAAGCGGTATCTTTCGAATGTACGAAGATATGAACAATAAATTTGGAATACCGAAATATGTATAAGCTCCTCTATTCTTGGAACATGTCGTTGCTATCAAGACTTTAAATTAAAGTATACATGCAGTAAAAAAACGTATAACGTTAGACTCGCTTTATTTGCATGACAAACTACTGCGGGAAATCGGATTAATCTATATAATTAGCTGTTCTTCAAATACTTATTACTGCTTCAACTTAAAATAATGCAATATTACAGAGAAAATAAAGGTCAAAACACTGAAGTGATCAACTATCAATCAAGTAAAGCTTATACTGATGAATATATTGTAAGAGTTCCGCTCGAATTCAGCGCTAAGGGATTTCTGTGGCACCCCCGATAAGCTTGGAGTTCTAAATATAGAGCGCATATTTGTTTAGTAAACAAGCTTTCGGCTCTTTAAAATGATAAGAAATGATAAGGATAACTTTTTTTAAACAAAAGATAGTGCGAACTAAAGGGAAAAGGTCTGCTGATTATATAAAAAAAAATAGAATTGAAAACAAAACTAAAATAGATATTCGTGAAATGCGTAATTTTAGGAATAATATATACTAAGATAATTATAATATTTCGGCTTGTAATATAAGGAAATATTTTTGAAGGAAAAAAAAGCATGTTTTTGCGCAGTACCCAGCTAACAAAATATTATTTTCCAAGGCATTATTTAATGGTCATGTATTATATATAGGGAAACGAAATTCATTTCGCTATTAACCCTTTCATTTGTATACTAGTTTGCCCAAGTAGAACACTTAGGCCCCGCCCCCACCTACTTGAACCGATTCCCTAATCCATCCATCCATTAATCCACTTTCATATGGGGCACTTACCACTTGGCGGTCGTTTCCAGATGCAGATCGTGGTACGATGCAGTGAACTGGAATTTGGCGGCGCGCTTGAAATTGCGCTGCAATCGCTTCCAGACGCTGGCCATCTTAGCGGGAGTGGATCGTGGGGTTCCTTAATTGGGATTTTTCGGGGTGTTGAGGTTTGTATAAAAATTAGACCCGTTTCGATCGTCGTTGCTTGGTTTGTCACTAATTTATTGTGTCATGTTTACCACTTAACTTCTGCAGGCAATCTGGGTAGGGAATGGAAACCAATATAAACGCAAGATCATAACTAAACTATGGTTATTGTTTTACACTATTTCTGGTGAATTTGACAAGGTTCATTCATAAAAAAAGTAATGCCATCTGCAGGTGCATAAGTGTTTACTTTTGTAGGGTCCAGTAATCACAGAACCACTTTTGTTTATATGTATACATATTTTGGATACGATTTTATTGCTTTGTTGTCTGCGAAATTACTCAAAAACCCACACACACATATATATACGAGAGAACACTGTTTGTTTTTTTCTTTTTCGTTGTTTTGTGACCTTCAGTTTTGCTTTTCTTATAAATACTCTAGATTTACAGCTTATTGCCAGTTTTGTTTTTGTTTTTATCTATTAATGTTTTCGCGAAAGAGTGTTTGTATCTAAGGAGGTTGAACCATGTCTCGGAAATAGGGTATATCAACCAAGTAAATAGTCTAAAAATGAAAATAACTTTGACTTGGAGTACCTAAATCATAATAACTCCAAAATTGGCATGTTTCGGATCTGCAAACCCAAAAGATTGAGTGAGTTTGTTTGATGTTTACGTACATTTCACTCGACAATATTCTTGAGACCCAGAACTGAGTCACCCCTGTGGATGTGAACATTATTCTCTTCGCTACTAGGAATACCTAGAACGCTATAACTTTGAAACGACATTGCGTACTAAAGAATCCTTTTGACCACACATTAAACAAGGGTTATAGGTGCAATTAATGGTTTAAAAAAATCGATGTCGTCACTTAGTTTTGGTCAACCTCCCTCCACCTTTGGCTCGCTTCTCACTCAACTCGTTAGCCTCGGCCAAAGCAAAAGGTCTGGGCATGTGTGTATAGGTTTTTAACAATCTTTTCTGGTCACTATTACGGCATTTTTGTTTTGGTCTCCGATTTCGCCTAAAGGTATCTCGGTTTGGAGACCTTATATCCTATATATCACCGTACATTTGCGCGATTATTACGACCACTCGCGTTCGTCTAGTTTTTTATCACATTAGTGCGAATAATAATATAATTCACACCGATTCAGACTACGACCGACGTCTTTCTGCTAGAGCTGGAAATAACATCGTCGATGTATCGATACATCGATGTTTTCCAAAACTCGGGAAACATCGAGGTTTTCAACGTCGATGTTCGATGTTTCCTCTTTATCCATGACTTTGAAAACTTTGAAAGGTAAGAATCTTGGTAAGCTAAGCACAATTTTGATTAATTAAGTAAAAGAAACTAATATATACGTTCAAATTGGTATAGATTTCGAGAAATATTTGTGTTGGCGGCGCTTCGATATGGAGAATAAGACTTTGAAAGAGCAGAACAGCAATGGTAATTAGACCGCCTGATATCGAGTATAACTATCGGTATCGATATATGCACAATCGAATGTATCGGTTAACAGTAGCGAATACACACACCCTCTGATAGCCGATGCACCCACCCGACATACCGTTTCAAGATGGTGTATTCGCTACTGCTACACGCCTTATATCTTTCAATCAGCCCATTGAACAACTTCTTTTCCCCCTTTCAATCAAGTTGTTCAACTTGAACTTGTTTTAAACGCAATTCGATAAATTTTATTTATAATTAAATCATGGTTTCGTTAACATTAATTACAATTATTTAAAAATTAGGCGTGGCTGCTGTTGTTGTTTTCTTTTGTTTTTTTCGTTTTTCGATTTGTATGATCAAGAGAATGTTTTTAATTGAATGTGAAATTTGCGGTTTTGTTTTTTTTCTGCCGTTTATGAGTCTGCATATGTGCCATGCAAGTGTGTGGGTGCGCATATGAGTACGAGTCTTTGAGTGCAGCTGCGTGTGTGTGTGTTAGCGGTTCGAATCGGCGTGGCAGTGGCTTTAATTATATATTTTCACCGTTTACGGCTTAAATCCTGGCTTGGCGATTATTCAAAAAACTGAGAGTTAAAAAGTACAAACTGATGGGTGAACTGGCTATCCTGGCCGAGAGTTGGCTATCAGAGAGATACAGATACAAAACGGGCGTATCACACAAAAAAGCGTTCGAACAAAGTCATAAACACATGTCATAATATGGTAGGTGCATGAAACACGAAGATATCACAAACAATTTGCTATCAATAATTTAAAAGATAATCACAATTGGTTCTGAACCAAGCAACTGCAATCATCGATTCTACAACCGAGAATTTGTTGGAAATGCTCCACTCCTCCGCTCTCTACCATCTACCGTCCTCTTTCTACATCCTAAGCTATGTCCTGCCCACGGCCACGCCCCTGCGAATCCGCCCAACGCCACACAGTCCTCCACAGTCGTCTAGGTCTTCTGTTTGCCCTGCTTGCAGAACTCCTTGTAGGCGCGCTCGGTTTCCTCGTCCATTTCGGCGTCCATTTCCAAGTCTCCGCCATCGCCATCGAAGTCGTCGGCATCGCTGCCCTCGCCGTCCTCGGTGGCCAAGAAGTCGGTCTCCTCGGCGGTCAATTCGCGGCCATCGGGTCCATAGAAGACGGGCTCATCACTCAGGCGCGGCGGCTCCGCCACTGTATCCTCGTCGCCACCCAGGGCATTCGACACCTTGCGGCCCCAGTTGTTCTGCTGCAGGGCAATGACATTGGCCGCCATGGCGTACTTGCCCGGTGACTTCAACTCGATCGCCTGCAGGGCCGTGATGATCTCCAGCATGTCCTTGGGGCAGTCGGCCGACAGATCGTAGCCAGCCAGCTTGAGCGTCTGGCACAGGCAGCGCACATTCTCGTTGCTCTCGCTGGCCAGCAGCTTACTCAGTGAATAGACGATGTTCACGGCGATCAACTGGATGCGCGAGTCGTCGTCGCCGCGCAGCTGCATGTAGAGCTCGGCCAGGAAGAGGGCCGTCTCGCGCACCTTCTGCTGCTCATTGGAGCGCATGTACTTGGTCACCTCCTCCTGGTGGTAGTCCAGCTTGCACTTGAGCAGCGTGTGGAACAGCGAGTCCGGCTTCGGGTTGAGCATGTGCAGCAGGTTGTACAGCTTGGCGCCCATGTACCGGAAGTTCGGCTGCTCGATCGACTTCTCGAAGATGTCCTCCATGGCGATGGAGAGCACGAACTGGTTGTTCTCCATGCCGTCGAAAATGGTCAGGAAGCGTGATGCAATCGTATCAAATTGGCCCGGATTCTGCAGGGGGGAGATCAAATGTACTGGTTAAGTGGAATGTTTGTAGTTTAAGGGTGTATAAAGGGTATCATAAGGTCAGCGTACACTAGATTTATTGCAGGGGCTTTACATGATGAGACTATGAGGAAAACAAGGGAACTTACAGCCCTTAGGTTTACAAAAATAAAAATCAACAAAGTTATAGTTGTCACTTTCCAGTTTAGACCAGTTTTTAAAGGAATATGCTTAGTTCTATTACCTAAAAGATTGTATAAGTACTTTAATGAGTTAAATAAAAAGAAAACTATAATAATAATGAAAAATGGGATTTTATGCCATTTGATGGCTTGGCAAATCAAATCACGCTGTCTTCTATGATAAATTTATTATAGAAAGTATGCTTAAAAGCCCCCCATATGTATTCACCCTTTTTTGCAGCTACATGACATAAAAGCTTCGTAGATTTCCAGATTTTTCAAACATACATAAGAGCATCCCCGACATTAACCCTCCAAAAGTCCCATCAACTTGATTCCTCACCTGGTTAAGGCAATGTATGACTGTATCGAGATACTCCAGTGCAATGGTGGCCATGTCCGGCTGCGAAGAGTTCGAGGACGACGAGGAGGCCGCCGCGGACGAAGTGGATGGCTGCGGTTGCTGCTGCTGTTGGTTCTGGTTCTGGAAATACTGCTGCTGCTGGTGGCTGTGCTGCTGGTGGTGCGGCTGCTGCTGGTGATGCTGCTGCTGTGTCTGCTGTGCGATTTGTTGGAACGAGTTATTCAAGTGGGTATGCCGTTGGAACTTGGCGTGTTGGTTGTGTGGCTGATGCTGCTGCTGGTGGTGTTGTTGTTGTTGTTGGTGGTGGTGTGTGTTTTGTGGGTGTACCTGCTGCTGCTGCTGATAGTAGTTGCCACCCGAGCCCTGCTGGTTGTTCAGGTGCAGGCGATTCTGCACGGAATTCGTTAGCTTCTGCATATCGTTGTTGAACTTCTGCTGATGGTTGTGGTGATGGTTGTAGTGCGGCTGCTGGTGGTGCTGCTGCTGCTGATGATGGTGCTTGTAGCCGTTCACATAGCGCTGCTGCTGCTGCTGTTGGCCATAGGGAGCTCCTCCGGAGGCGCCTGCTCCACCAGCCTGCTGGTACTGCTGATGACGCGACTGCTGCTGCTGCGGCTGCTGCTGGGGGGGAGCCACTCCTCGAGGGACGAAAATGGAGGCCGTGGCCGACAGCTTGGACAGGTCGGACAAGGTCTGGGCCTGCGCCTGAATGGGCAACTGCTGCTGGTAGTTCCCAGCTACCTGCCCGTAGCCCTGGGCCCCGCCGGCATACTCCCCGAAGAGATGCGCCTGCTGCTCCAGCCCGGGCATGGCCACTCCGCCGGCTCCTCCGGCATTCGGCCGGCGCAGCTGCTCATACTGATCGTCGGGCTGGAAGGGGGCGCGGCATGACATTGCGGTGGCGGTGACGGCGGCGTTGGACTCGAAAACTGAAAATCACAAAAGGGGTACATTTCAGTGGGGGGTGTTGGGGCTGGGGGATTAGCGTCTAATCTCTGAGCACAAATCACATTCGTCTTTGAAATCCAGCGTGGTTACGTCTGCGAGCGTCGTCGGGGACGCCAATTCCGTCAGGGTCGCGGACATTTTGTTTTCGTCGCACTGGTTTTAGGCCTTTCCTTTTTTTTTTCTTTTTTCTGCTCTCTTCTCTTCCTCTTCTTTTCAGGCAATGAACCCTTTTTCAACCGGACTGCTTGCTATTCAATTTGCAATGCCTACCTTAATTCTGTCAAAGTTGAACGTATACGTCGCCGATTTTTCTTTTTGTTGCTTCGTTTTGCTGCGTCGTCACTTTCTCGTCTGCGTCTCTGCTGCGCTGCTCCGATTTTTCTGGCTGGTTTGATAGGGGGGAATTGCACGTTTTACTGGCCGTGGGAAATGGTAAGTCGGGGGGGGTTGGTGGGTGGTTGGGCGGACTGCGGGGGGCCACTGACCGCCGATAAGGACTGGGTAGAGCTACGCACCTTTTATTCGCGCTGCGGCAATTCGTTACAATTATATTTCGATTTCGCCTTTTCACCGTCGGTGTGGTCGCAAGTAGGGATGTGAAAAATATCAAAATATCAATATATAGGTATTTTTTGAATAAAAATATTTGTATCGTGATATTTTTGCACCTGGTATATCGCTGTTATCGCTATTCGCGTAAGTAAGTAACAGTCTAACTGTCAGGAACGTAAGAGCCACGTTAGTGTCAATTAAGGAGGGAGACAAAAAAACCCTTTGTCTCAGTACTGTTGGCTAGCGGAAAACTAAATTATTTAATAATAATATAAACTATTAAGATTATGATTATATATTAGAATACCTTCGTTGTCTTCAGCGGCCGGGTTGCTCGATTAATCAATATATCGATATTCATCTGAATCAGCGCCACTTCCTTGGTCACTGAAAGTGCTTGGGGATGTTAAGGCCCGATTACACTGGAGCAGATTTATAGGGTTGTCGCACTTTGTCATTTTAAGTAGGTTTTAAACCTAGAAAAAGTTGCGAAATTAAGACGCTGAAAACCTTCTTTTATTTGAACCTAAGGAGAAATAAAGGGGCCTAAGAATGCTTTTAATTTATTTGTTTTCATCACAAATTTCAAAATGTATATTCGTATTTTGGAATTTGACACTGCAAAGTATCATAAACTCTGAAATGGTATAAAAGTCCAAAGAAATACTTTCTCCGCACCTTACCAAATTTCGCGTAAAAATTATGCCTGATACAGCGCTAAGTCTTAAGAATCTACATGAAAAAATATCTGTACTTGGAGTTCCATTTACTTTTTACTGTCACAAAACTGTTTCTAGATAAGATGTAAAAAGTTTGATTTTAATCATTTTTAAGTAGATCGGTATAGGCATTGTGGAAAAATACCCAAGCCTAGATATCCCAGCTTTATCGGTAAAGAGCGAGACTGAGCTGAGTGCTTCATTTCTTTTTAGTTCTTTTTAGTCGATGCCTCAGCTCAGTCAGATTTAAACCGCGCTACGGGAAGGATATCCTAACGACACGATGAACAACCTTATCAAGTGCTTAATGACGATCGGCTGCCTGTGCCTGGCACTGATCGATCAGGCGGATTCGGAACAACCGTCGACTAGATTCAACGTGAGCTTCTCCCAGTTGGATTCTTGCGAAAGCTTCTCGGTTCCAAATACAGGATATGGCTACCGGAAGTTCTATATGCTCCACGAGCTAAGCAACAACAACCGAAAGGCTGGGGAGCGGCTGCACTTGAAATTTTACGTGTTGACCTCCATGGATGCCCACATCCTGCTCTCGGTAACGAGTCATCCAAGGGTAAATGATCGCGTCTACGAGATCGGTACGTAATCTCGGAGTAAAAGGTTCTGTTTTAAAGAGGTTCCTAGTACAGCTTGTAAATTGTTTTTTTGAACAAAAAGGATGGATCTATTAATTTTTTTAACTAGCAAAGTATAATAGAATTAGGCGATTTTTTTAAGATTTAAAATTATGAATTTGTTCATAAATATTTAGAGAATAAACTAAAAAATCGGGTTTCATTGAATTGATAATAGCTTTTTATGCGGCTAACTGTGTAAAATTCCAAGCATGTATTCACTTTTGATCCCCACTGTTTGTGCTTTCTAGAGATATTCCCAATAGAACACAACTCATCAGTTTATGAAAAAGTTTTAGTATCATATTTAACACAAAGAGAAACATTTTACTTGGCACTTACATATTTTTCGAATGACATTGAACTGATTTTATAGACTCCATGACCGTCAATTGAATGCTCTTTCATGACACTGTTTTTATGTGGTATCTTCATTCCGCTTCCAGTGATAGGCGCCGGCGGAAATACGTTCTCCGCGATCCGTACCTCCATGGGATTGAGGCGAGTGGCCACGAGTCAAGAACCGAACTTGGTATCACTGTACGAGCCAACGCCAATAGAGATTGTCCAGACGCAGAGTGAGTTTCCTGCCCCGCAATTTTTCCATATTATCTGGTATTCCCTGCTCTTCAACCCCCAATACAATTCACAGATGGCGAGTTGTTTGTTTATATACCCGGCTTCAAGTCTGAGCCGCTGATGCAGTTCATCGATGAATCTCCGCTGACCATCAACTATATAAGTTTTAGCTCTTTTGGTTCCAACACAGCGCGCTGGTTCTACGACTGTGGCTTTGATGGTTATGGTAAGGATATATATGTATCCCAAACAAATCTTCAGAGGGTGTTATAAGTAGACATCGGATTATATGTGATAATAATTGGATTAAGGATGAAAGTTTTGTCATAAAAAGAATTATGATTTTAAAAAAATGGCTTGCAAATTACGAATTACTGGAAAGTGGATGTTAAAAGATGGATTTCACATATATTCCGACATCTATTCTTAAGTGTATATCAAGTGAAAAGTTTTTAAACCTCTTCATAAATTTCAGACAAGGAAATATCTCAGGAGGTGCACGAACCGACTCCAACTGAGAAACTTCTGGACCGATTGAACTTCCTGGCGGAGAATGCCAGCTTGCCAGCGAATCTCAGCTCCGTATTGTTCCACTTCCAAACGCGATCACTGGCCTACGAGCAAACGAACTCCATGCTGCAGACCCGTATGCACATGATGCTGGTAAAAAGGAATATCTCTTAGAAAAGTAAGATTAAAATTCCAAAATAAATCCATATTCTTTCAGCACTGGCATGACAGTCGCCTTGGCTGGAGACCCCAAGATTTCGGATCCCTGAAATCCTTCGAGCATCCCGATCTGCGGATATGGATACCGAAAATGAACGTTCTCAACGGAGCCCTGCAGTCCGTGGGTGAGATCCTCCGATCCTATGAGCTGAGGGTCTACGCCAACGGAAACATCACCCTGTACGCCAACAATCTGCAGCTGACCAGTTGGTGTGTGGATAGTGCCCGAAACTGGCCCAACGAGCGGGTGACCTGCGACATCGAACTGGGACTGAATTTCCAGGAGGGACAGGAGACGTTGGCCCTCATCTACGATAGGTACCGCAAGCCCATTGCGCCCAATGAGCACGTGAACTTGCCCTCCGGCTGGTCATTCACAGAATTATCCGTGGTGCGAGTGGACAGCGATGCGGCTAGGAGATATAACCCCAAGGGAATGATGCAGAAAATGGATGGGGATGTGGCCATAGAGTTTACGCTACAAAGAAACCGCAGCTTCTACATGACCGTCTTTTATTTGCCTCTGCTTGGTAATATATAATCTTTGTTAATAGATTCTGTTAATAGATTTTACTTACAGGAAGGTTTTTCATATCGATTGCACTAAAATATTTATTTGTTTCCGTAATTAGTTCCATCTCGACAAGTTTGGTAACTTTTAATTTCTTATTATAGTATATCATTACATTTTCAGCCTGCCAGATGTTCTTGATATTGTCGTTTGTGCTGCGTTCTACTCGTAGAAGTGCCCTCATCTTCATCGCCCTGCTGATAACCGCTTGGGGCCTAATGTATATGACGCGCCACGCCGCCCCGCACTATGAGCCGCCCCTAAGTAAGATCAGAATCCCTTCAGGTTTATTTTTAAATTCAGTATGAATTATTTTGTTCTTGTTCCGAATCGAAAATGGATATATTATTCTTGATATTATTACTTTAAGACGAGCTCCCTTTAAATATCGTTTTCCCACAGTGACTGCCTATAAGGCTGTAATGATGGTCGCTACCTATTGCTACATCCTGCACATTTGCATGATATGGTTGGAATTGTATCCTCCAAGATCGCAGGCTCCTGACTGGTTGGTTGCCCTGATAAACTCCAATGTGCTGCGCTGTGTTCTGGGCTTGAGATTTGCAGATGTAAGTAGCTTAAGACCTATTAAGAACTGAATAATATCAGAACTTTTTCTGCAGTCCAACGACTATTGCGACATTCAGACGAATCCGTTGCGCCATCTGGCCAAAATCCTGAACAACTTGAGCTCTCTTCTGGTCATAATTACCTTCGCCTTCGTAGACATAACAAGTGGAGTTTGAAAAATCGAATTTTTCTTTATTGTGCCTTTGAGAGAATAGTATTGGTTTCTTAAATAAATAAGAAGTAAACAGAGAAGAAAGTGAAGACATTGCGACTACGGGTTGAGAGGGTAGGGGGAGAACGTGCCTCGGCTGCTGCGACTCCTCGCAGATAACTGCTCCATTCGCTCCATCTCCGACTTAAGATCGACTGGGATGCGGATTTGGAGTTTAGATTTGGTATCGGAGCTTAGTGGTAGCCGTAGCCGTGATCATCGTAGCCACCCAGGGACAGGGCCGGAGCGGAGTAGGACTTCAGCAGAGTCGGAGCTGCGTAGCTGATGGATGGGGCCGCGTAGGACTTGAGAACCGTGGGAGAAGCGTAGCTGATGGCTGGGGCGGCATGGGCGTAGCTGATGGCCGGAGCTGCGTAGGATTTGATCACAGGAGCTGGGGCATATGCGATGGCCGGCGCAGCGTACGACTTGACAACGGGCTGGGCATGGGAAACAACCTGGGGAAGATTAAGAAGGGATTAGCACTTTGAATGGGTACTACAGCTTAAAATATTATTAAATTGTAAATATATTTAAGGGGTTACACAGGGCTTGTAGATTGTAATTTTCTGATGATCCTGTGACCAGATATGAAGTCCTTTGGGTAGGTGGGTAGGTAGGAGTTTTAAATATTTTTAAGTAATTCTTTTCAACATACTTAGCAAATATGTATCGAAAATTTACCAAGTCATCAATGTGTATACTATCGGTTAAAACAAACATTTTTTTAAGTGCTTGTTTTAGGACCTAAAACCCTATGTAAGTCCTTAAATGATTCTATATGATATTTGTATATCTTTCAATTTAGTTATCTGATAGGAACCCAATCTTACCGAGCTGAAGTGCGAGTAGCTGGTGGCCGGAGCTGCCACCTTCACCGCCACAGGAGCCGCATAGGACTTGACCACCGTGGGAGCGGCGTAGCTGATGGCAGGAGCAGCATGGGCATAACTGATGGCCGGAGCAGCGTAGGACTTAATCACTGGAGCCGGAGCCGAGTAAGTGATCGCGGGAGCAGCATATGACTTGATCACTGGAGCGGCAGCTGCATAGGTGATGGCAGGAGCAGCATGGGCGTAGCTGTAGTCCGGAGCCGAGTGTCCATAGTCCAGAAGTCCAGGAGCAGCATTGGCGGCAGCCAGCAAAGTGGTGAGAATCTGGTGGGGTATGAAAAAGATCGATTTAAGTTAAGCAATTAATTGTTTACTAGATAAAAAAGCATTTCAATAGTCTTTAAATAAGTATTCCGAAATTATTTGTTGCTTTTCTATGCTTTGGGTGGCCCAAAGCTAGAAAATAAGAACCGCGAATTCTTCAGAGCACTGGATGACCCACTGGATGTAAGGACAGACGAACTTATTAAAGTGACTGTTTTATTCACCGAAATTATTTTAACTTTCATGTTCAACATATAGGTTTTTAAAAGTCCTTGTTAAAATATTTTGAAAATTATTTACATTTTTTTTAACAATTTTATTTGCCGGCATGTCTTTTTCAAATATATCCTGTTAGTTAGTCGAACTCTAATCAAGTCGTTAACTTATAAGGAGGATTTAATTGAATTTTGATCCTTTGAAAATCAGAAAATAAGGATTCATTCGAATCACTAAATTAACACATTCACTTGGCTATTGATTTTATTTTTTCATGAAGTCTATCACCAACCAAAGGTCCTAAGTGATATTACTATACTGAACTTTTAGGAACTAACTTTTGGAACTATAGTGAATGGAAATTCGACAAGCAAAGATCTAGATTCACTGTCCAAGTAAGCTAGTTCTATTTGCTCTGATCTGATGATCCTAATCCTTGGCCCGATCCTTCGCACTCACCAGAAGTTTCATGCTAGCGCTGGATAACGAATCACTTGGCTTGGAGGGAGAATTGCAACTGTAAGTGGATTGCGTGCATTGCGTTACTTTTATACTGCTCGACGACAAGGCAGACCAAGACCACGCACTCGTACTGGGGCTCTCAAACGGACAGTGGACCGGCGGACAGGCGGACGAGCGGACAGAGACAGATCTTGACTAGATTTCGATCTGAGCTTCGGACGGACGAGCGGACAAACAGTCAACAAAGCGGGCCAAGCAGCACCAATTTGTGAAGTATGTATCGCGGCTGAGGTGAAACAGCAATTCTCGTAGACGCAACTTGGAGAGCGCCCCCAAAAGCGGATGACGCAACTCGAACTGGAGCTCGGAGCTGGGAGTTGGGAGCTTGGAGCTTGGAGCTGGGAGCTCCGATCTGAAGGCAGACCACTTGCCCGCTAAGGAGTCGCAGGAAAGGCGGCATTTCCACTGGGGGTCTCGAATTGGAAAGCGCGCGCGCTAATTGAACACGCTGATTAGCTGGCCAGTTTTGGGTAGCTCCAAGCAAGCTTCAATAATAAGGACCACACCCAACGAAAAAATCCAGCCTTGCCACTAACAACTTAATTAGCCAAGCGAGAATGCCGTCTAATTGCTTTCGATGCCATAAATAAGTATTCTCGAAACAATTCTCGGTGTCGCTGGGAAATTCTCCCCAAATTGCATAATGAACGCTTGCCAAATCGGCGAATGTCGATCCGATCCAAACCGAACAAACAATCCCCGGCTGGCCGAAATATCTAGGCGAGCTTCATATTTATCTTTATCGTGCCGCGAATGCCGCTGCGTGCCACATTTGACCATATTGGATGGGCGATTTCAGCCGCAGCCACGCCGTCTCGTCTCGAGGACACTTGTGCGTGGAGAGGGGCTTTGGATTGAGTCAGCCCCAGTTGCCAAGTTGCCCAGTTCCCCAGCTCCAGCTCTCCATCCATCGATCCATTGGGTGTTTGCCCCTTCTCCGTCGGAAATCTGAAATCTGCAATCGGCGGTTGAGCATCTGGCAGCTCGTGGGATTTTTATTGCCGCCTTGATTAACCCCCTGGGGTGGGCGGGGGTATGGAGCTATGACAGGCAGCGATGGCCTTGGGCTATCAAAAACTAATGGTGCTACAAATCTCCTAGATTATTCAGCGAGCTTACAATGTTCTTATCTTAAAAAAGGCGTGTGTAATGATCAGGTTATGTGTTCAAATGTTTAACAAACATGGCATTATCTCTTATGGACCCTGGAATGGGTAGTATTTTGTAACATAAGTTTCTTTAAAGTAACTATAGTGAAAGGCTGCGAAAATTGGATCACATATTTAAGTAATTGCTTAATCTTTAAATATGAACTGCATGAATCAAGATGTTCGGGACTTTTTTTTTCGAAACATTTTTGTTTTAAATCGTATTTTTTGAAACTTCTAACAAAGAGAAATTCATAGCTCAGGTCTCCTAAGTGATATATTATTCTTAACTAAATAGCTGGAAATGAATGTGATTTATGGTATGATATAAAATGAGAATCGAAAGAGGACCAAAGCCCCATTTGGATCCAATGTACAAATCGGTCAAAGTATTGCATTTGGGCCATCATCTTCCGAAGAATTCCTTTTCTTATCATTTTATACCGTCCTTTTCTTATTAAGTTGAATAAAAACTTAACTGAAACCGCGAAGGAGGGGATGGCTTAAAACTCCTGCGAGTAAAGCTTTATATGAATGAAATTCATATTCTTATGATTCATATACGTAAACCTTATTCGTCCCTTATTTTCAAATTACGTAAAGACGTATACAAATATTTACAAGGGATTCGTATATTTCACATTCCCAAGTTAGATCAATACTGTGATCAAAACGTACTGCTCATTGTATGCAAGTTTCTAATATAAATTGAACTAGCTCAGACTAACTAAGTTAAACCAAGGTAACATAGTGACTAATGCTCTGCTCTCTCTTCTCTTCAACGCCCCAAAAGTCACGTAAAGTTAAGTCACAGGAATTGCAATAATTCGCAATGTCTCAGATTGGCGCATGCAACTTGCAGCACTCCAAACGGAGTTTCCCCTCAAGAGGCCTCGAAAGCAACACAACAACCTCAGCATCACCATCAACATCTCGAAAATACTTAGCACAAAATGAGAAAAAGACAGCACGAGATGGCAGGAAAGAGACAGAGAGTCACCTGCGATCGGAGTTCATGCATAAATCATGCCAGAGGAATGTGATTTATGTGAAATCTATTAGCAAATATTAAGTCAATAGCAGCAATTGTTGCCAGTGGTCGGCGACTGCCAAACAAGTGTTCCATGTCCAATTCGATGCGGACAGGTGCGGACACATACGGACAGATCGCTGTGGTTGGTTGTTGTCGCCTCGCTTTATAAATAAAAGATTTCCCAGCCACTGCCCCACATTTTGGCCAGGTGGAAAGCAATTTTCCAGCAATCGATAGTTTGCAGCCAGAAGGGTGGCAAACTCGAGTGCCAAATTGCCACACTAACACTAAAAACTTAAAACCGATATAAGGCGCTCAGCCGATCCAATCCGATCCGATCCCCATCCCCATCCCCTCTATAATTTTTTTTGGCTTTGTTTGAGAGCCAAGTCTTTAGCCAGATTTGGCGATCGGGCGGCGCGAGCTCCAAAATGGGTGCAAAATACCGCGAATTTTGGATGACGGGCCTAATTAGCCAATGGTCACAGAATGGACGAGAATTCGAGAAATCGAACCGATTGCCCAATGGCTCGCAAGCGCAGAATTCTTCAATTAATTAACGCCGCCGTTTTTGACTTGCAAATGTGATTCGCGGAAAACGGCCAAGAAAAACATTGCAAAATGGAAAATCGCTGCTTAATTAAATCAGAAACAAACAGCGAAACCAACCGGGTAGAAAAACAAAATAAAAACCGCGTGGCATTTATGACGCTTTGCCTGAATTAATGAATGAATCGTGGTGGACATGGAAATGGACTCGGATCTCGGATTTGGGAGCTGACAAACTTCAAACCTCGTTTCTGACGTGACTGGCAGTTTTTAAAGTGCACAGAAAAGTTTTTTTTTGGTTTTGAGATCGTATCTACATTATAGAAAGTTAATATTTTACTCGTTATTCCGGAGATTTTTGTATAAATTTTTAGATAAGCAAAACCAAAGGTTTTATTAAAGGTGTGCTACGTGGA